GAGAGAGAGAGAGAGAGACGCGAGGCGCGGGACGCGAGAGGAGTCGCGAGAGGGAGTCGCGAGACGTTTAGAGCCATGGGGGTGCCTCTACTACTCGACGTGCTCCGCAAGCCGGCAACGACGCTCGTCGTCGCTCTCTGCTCCTTCATCTGGTTCCAGATCCAGAAACGCGCTATAAGCTACCCCGATGTAGGAATAAGCTACGACGCGGTCGTCTCGCACCGCCAGTTCTGGCGCCTCGCCTCCGCGCCGCTCTCGCACATCTCCCTCCTGCACCTCCTCTTCAACGTCTCCGCGCTCTGGAGCATGGGCGGAATCGAAACCCTAACCTCTGCTGACGTTAGCAGGGTTGCGGTTCTGACCACTGGTGGGTGCAGCTGCCAATGCGACGTCTCGCCAATGGCAGTCTGCCGTCTCTTCTGTGCCGCTAGCTCCTTCCTCTCCCTCCTCTCTCCCTTCGTCCTCCTTCCCATCGTCCTCTCAGCCTGCCTCTTCCCTGGATCGCAGCATTCCGCGCTCTTCTATTTCTGGAAACTCCAGCACTGAAGCCTTTCAGACTGGGGAATCAACTGTTTCCGCTGGTTTGGCAAGACGAGGACTGGGCGAATTTTCCAACGCTGGTCCGATTCAGGCGCAGCAGCAGCAGAACTCAACAGAGGAGAATGATCGGAACCTGCAGCAGCTACTGCAGCAGCAAGAGCAGCAGGGTGACGAAGCAGCAGCGTTGCCAACAAACCAACAGCATCTGGCGGCGACAGGATGGGAGCCAGGAGGTTCCATCGGGTACCTAAGGGACTCCTTTCTCATGCTGGTGCTGTCAGGGCTGCTGGGTCTGGCCATGTACCATGTGCTCATCCACAGGTGGCGCCTGGAGTATTTCCGGCGAGTGACAGCAGTGGGGTACTCGTGTGTGGTGTTTGGGTGGATGACGGTGATCTCTGTGCGACGCCCCGCCATCACGCTCTCCGTGTTTGGCCTCATCAAGCTGCCACTGTCGCTCGCCCCGTTTGAGTCCCTCATCTTCACTTCCTTCATCGTGCCGAAGGTGTGAATATCTTCCGTCCATCTGACGTTCTCTTGCTTACCCGCATAGTCCTTCTCGCCGCGTTCCACCTGGTTGTCTCCCCTTTGCACCGTTCCTAGTCGTCAGTTTTTTCTCTCGCACATTCTTGTCCATCCGTGCATGGCAGGCGAGCTTCGTGGGTCATCTTGCAGGCATCATTGCTGGCTATCTTCTTTCCTGGGGAGCCCTGAAGGTCCGTACACTGTACCCAGACATTGTAAACGTAGTTTTATTTCTCTCTTTTACAGTCAGTAGAACCGTGTGGAGTTTCTAACTATCAGCTCTCTGCTTTTGTTTCCATTTCTGCAGGGATTCGACACATATTGGACACTTGTTTTGGCGTCATGGTTTGCAATTCTATGTGTCATTAGCTTGAAGAATTCATCGCCAATCGACTGCTCCTTTTTACAAATAGAGCCGGTTGTGCCCGAGCTTACAGAAGCTCTAGCCACATCTGCACAGGTTCCTTTTTTGCTTCCTCCACCACAACTTCCTCTGTGCATGGACCCATGGGAACTGCCACGGTACGAGGTGACAATATTGTGTAAATATGTTTAATTATATGCTGAAGAGTGATCATTTCGTAATTGGGATCAGCTGGCTTGTCGAATATAGGACAGAGAACCAAGCTCGTTTTTTCTGTTAAAGGAAATGTGCCAATGACGAGTACGATCGGGGCTGTGTTGGAAATTATGCACGGCTCGTTATGGTGAGCCTTTGGGGTCATACATTACTAGCTTACTATTGTGAGCCTACTAAGTTGCAAGCGAGCTTAGAACCAGTGATTCTAATGCCTGACAGCGTTTACGGTACACAAGCTCTCATTTAGATCAACATTTTTCGTTCCTATTATTTAGCATAACGCTAAGCCATTTGTCCTGTCGAACACTGCCGATCAGATCCTGATCTTAGAATCTTCCGATCCCCATCTAAATTGCTTCCCGATCTTCATTCTAGCTGCCTTCCGTCCGATCCAGGCGTCAGGGAATTCTGTCAGCATGCGTCGCGCTTCGCATTCTCGCGTACTAGTTCCTCCGTCTCAGCTCCTTTCGTTCCTAGATTCCGCCGCGCTGTGTCGTGGCCCTCCAAGGATAGGATTGAATTCGGCGGTTCTAGCGGCAGTCTCAGCTACCGTAGCAACACCAATAGCAACAGCGACGACAGCAGCAACTGCCGAAACCGCAGTAACACTTGGAAGAGCAGCGGCAACAGCAGCGACAGGATCAACAGGAGCGACAGGAGCGACAGGAGCGACTGCAACGACAGGGCCGGGGATATGGCTCTTAGCCAGGTCCACGTCAGCGCAATCATTGCCAGTTAGATCCGATCCAAGCCGATCGGAGTTGGATCGTGTTGGGGGTTGCAGTGCGGCTTTTCCTCACCTCTCCTCTCACCGCGATGCTCTGTTCGCCCCTCCTCTCGTTGCGACACGACCTCTAACTGAGGCGGGTTACCGGGAAACCAGGATATTTGTAAACGATAGAGCACGAACGTGCATTATTTGTAGTACTGCGAGCATCGGATCACGTTCCATTGCTACTAATACCACCGGATACTCAAATCTCCTGTCCAGTTCGCCAGGTTCCCCGTCAGATGCCACGTCGGATGCCACGTCGGATGCCACGTCAGACCCATCCTTCCCGCCAATCAAGCCGTACGACTCTCTGTTTCGTGATCCTCCGAAACCTCTAGGCGTGGGGCCCAATCCCAAGGTGGTGTCTAAACCCAAGGGAGGGGTATACGGCGCGGTGCTGGGCGTTCTAGGGTATTATTCCAAGGAGAGTGAGTTAATCCGCGGTGCGAACGCGCTCTACAAGGCGGTGACGCGGCAGGCTGACGACGAGATGTTCTTAAGAGGTGAGCTGTGCTTATCCTGGTTCTGAGTATTCTCAAAGGTGGGCTGTGCTTTTGAGGCTCCTCAAAACGCGGCAGGCTGACGACGAGATGTTCTTAAGAGGTGGGCTGTGGTTGAGGCGAACTTCATGATTTTGAGGATTCGGAATTCTCAGTGGTGGGCTGTGCTTTTGAAGCGCCTCAACACACAAAACGCGCCAGGCTGATGACGAGACGTTCTTAAGAGGTGGGCTGTGGTTATCCTGGTTCTTCAGATCCTAAACGATTTAGATCAATGATTTAGGAAGTTGCTGGATCCTAAACGCCTACTACTCACTTAATCCTCCCCACTGCCATTCCCCTCTCCCCTTCCTCTCACCTCCACCCTTCCCGCTCCGCCCTCCCCCCTCCCTCCTCCCCCCTCTCCCCTCCCCTCGACCTCTCCCACAGCACTCGGCCTCCCCTCGCAGTTCCGCACGCACCACGCGCTGCTTGTGCTGCACACGTGGCTGGCGCTGCTGCGCCTGCGCAAGGAGGGCGCGCAGGGGGCAGCAGTCGGGCAAACCCTGTACGACACGTTCAATCACGACGTGGAGCGCCGCGTGGTGGCGGCGGGGGTGAAGCTTCTCGTCAGCAAGTGGATGCGCGAGCTCGAAAGGGGTTTCTATGGCGCGGCTGCTGCCTATGATGCTGCAGTGGCTCCTGGGGCCAGTGCAGATGCTCTCCCCAGGGCGCTCTGGCGGTGAGTACTGCGCTTCACGGGTGAGGGTCAGGATCCAGGTATTTGTGAGGAGAGAGCACAGGGCGCGCAGGGCGCGCAGGGGCAGCGATGGGGCAGACGGTGGGGCAAACTGTGGCGCAAACTGTGGCGCAAACTGTGGGGAAGACAGTGGGGCAGGCGGTGCGGTGGGGCAGACAGTGGGGCAGACTGTGGGGAAGACAGTGGGGCAGGCGGTGGGGCAGGCGGTGGGGCAGACGTTGTACGACACGTTCAATTTCGATGTTGAGCGGCGGGTGGTGGCGGCGGGGGTGAAGCTGCTGGTCAGCAAGTGGATGCGCGAGCTCGAGAGGAGCTTTTAGGGCGGGGCAGCGCCACAGACGGTGAGACGGTGGAGTAGGTAGTGGGGTGAGATGGTTGGGCAGGTATTGGGGTGAGATGGTGGGGCAGGTAGTTGGGTGAGACGATGGGGAAAGTAGTGCAGTGCTTCTCCCTTGTCACCTCAATCTGTTTCCTCCATCTTGCAGGTATGTGTGCTGGTGCATTTTGCGCTGTCTCTCTTTGTCGCCTTCATCCTCGTCTCCCTAGTTGGCTGTCATCTTTGCTTTGCAAGTTACAAGCCATAACTTGGATTTCGATTTGTATTTTTCTTGTTGTCTGTTTGTCCGTGACTGTGTTTGTTTTGTTCATCGTTTGCTTTGTTCGTCAATTGCAGCGATGGTAGCGGCTAGCAGGAGTGTCTTTTTGTGTATTAGAGGAAGAGGTTCTCGATGAGGAATTCTCCACAAGCGCAGAGTCGTTGAGAATTTCTTCCTCCAATACAAAAAAAGGCACCTCCTACTGGCCGCTGGCCCTGCAGCTTCTTGAGACCATGTTCTTTTCTTCGGCCTTCTAAAGCCCTCACTTTCTTCTCCTTGCTCCGCTGCACCTCCCGACCTGCCATGCAGCAATGTGTTTGCAGAGGACGCGTCTGACATGCCCTCCGGCCCTGCAGCTTCGTGAAGGCCTTTGTTTTGATCTCAGGCCTGTTAATAGCCTCATTTTCTTCTTACCTCTCCCCTTTGCCGTACCGCTTGAAACTGTTCCACAGCAATGTGTTCGCAGAGGACGCGTCTGACATGCCCTCTGGCCCTGCAGCTGCTCCCGTGCAGGTGAGTGAGAGGGGTGGTTGGTGGTAGAGTCATGGAGGATAGGTGAGAGGGTGATAGCAGGTGAGCGGCTGGTGGTGCTGTGCAGGTGAGAGGCTGGTGCTGCTGTGCTTCCACACCAACCTCAATTCACTCCACCTCCCACCTTCACCATCCCGAAGCATCGCCAACTTGATTCCTCTCTCCATCCATATTGTTCCTCTCTTTAGAGTTATTTCGTAACCCCCTCGCACCCTTCTCTTCCTGCTTCTCGCTGGTTACCACATGCAGGCATTGACACGTTACGTGCGGCTTGAGCTGGCCTCCCTTGCAGTCACAGGTGATGTGATGTGATATGCGATGGATGTGGTGTGGTGTGGTGTGGTGTGGTGTGGTGCGCTGTGGTGTGGTGTGGGGATGTTAAGTGAGGTTAGACAGTCCCACGTGTGTGCTGCTCTGCATGGCAGGGTTCACTGAATAGAATGGCTCATCAAATGAAGCTGATTATGATGTCTGGCTGTTTGGCTGGTTTATGCTTTTGAGTCGACTCAAAAGCAGGTTCACTGAATAGAATGGCTCGTAAAATGAAGCTGATTGATTATTCTGTTTGGCTGTCTGGCTGGTTTACCTTGTCATTCTGGTACCGTACGTCTCTCCTCGAGTTGCTAACGTATTTCTCCGTTCATTACCCCACGGTATGTTTTCCATATGTGTACCACTCTTTCCGTGCTTTCCAGACTCGGAAGCCATTCTCACAGGCAACATTACCTTCACCAACACCTTCCATGAAGATACCTAATTTTAGTACTGCGATTTTTTTTGTGGATCCGCTATAAGTTACAGTGTAATAGGCAGTTCAAGCTAAGTTGTTGTCGGCAAGTGCCTGCACTGCAGCAGAAGCTTCTCAAAGCAAGGCAATTCAACCAGAGAAGCTGATGCCATGCCAAACACCACTGGCAATTGTGCTGCTTCTGTGACTGGTCCCTCGAGCGGAACCCCTCACACTGGCATCCTGAACCACCTCCATAGCCACAACACTCACTCTCTCACACACAGCCATTCTCTACCAGCTGCATTCAACTCTCTCTCTCTCCTCTCTCCTGTAGGGTCGTAGAGTTGGAAGTTTGTTGACGTGGCTGCATGACCCTTCTTCGTCCTACGGAGAACGAGTTAATTTGGAAAAAAAAACAAAAACTGTACTCCCCTGGAAAGCCTGAACCGAGGTGGTGTTAGATCATAATGCATTAAAGTGAGTCCACAGAAAACTAGCCGACTTTTGCTTCTTGTGCCGCGGATAATGACTGCCCCGCCTCAACACAGACGGACCATCTTCACGACGTCGATTGAGCCAGCCTTCTCATCCTGACCACTGATCCTGGACCCACCCCAGCGCCAACAGTCGATTGTTGCCAGCTGCACGAGACGAGCGCTGTCGCGATTGGACGAAAAGCATTAGCCGGAGCAGGTACAGCAGCGAATCCAGGCCTCGAAATTGTCGTGCTGCCACTTCGCTTCCCCCAGCGGGCACGGCCGACGGTCTTTTTCCACACAAAAAGAGAGACCAGCCCAGGTCCCCACACATCCAACACAACCCCACAACCCCACAACCCACAGCACTCAATCCATCGCCCATCAGTTTTTCCTCTCGCGGAGTGTACCTTGTAACCCGCTACACACTCACAATGGCCCTAGTTACCATTTGGTTGACTTCGCTACCAAGGTTTATTTCGAGAATTCTAAAGGTGCGTCGCCAATTACCGTCGTCCTCCAATCGTGTCGCCTCGACTCCCCTAACCAAATCACGCCCCACACGTAGCCCCAGCAGCTGCGACTGCGACCCAACCACGAGTTCGTTGACCTCCCGCGTTCCTAGCAGTCGTTAATCGCCACAGCCACCATCAGTCTCCATATTCTCCGGCCCCTTCCTCTCCCTAATCGCCCTGCCCTCTCGATTCGCAGTTCCCTACTCTCGCCGACACCTTGACCTCGAATTCTAGACCACTTTCTAGGCCTCATGTAGGAGCCGCGTCGCGACAATGAGGACGGCTGGTTTTGGCCCGTTTCCTGCGAGGTCGTTTTCTGTGGTCCCTTTTTTCCCCTCGTTTCTGGCAAGCCTCCTCCTTACCTCCTGTCTACAGTACAGCGCACGAGTGGATGGATTTGGCTTCGAAGTCCTACAGTGTACAGTTCACTAGTGGTTGCCTGCTACGTCCAATGCAACTCAATCTCCGCTAGAATCAGTTGCACTCGGCAGTTCCATAGCGATTGAACTGATCAGGCAGTCAGCCTCAGAAGTTCATCTAGAGCGTTCAGTTCTCCTAATTTCAGAAAAAAGGTTCGCGACTCAACAATCCCCCTGTGCCATACACCTCGTGTTGTCAGAAAGATTGCCCGTTTCAGGCTAATCCCGTTCGCCGCCTAGTCCTCGATATCTTGGGATTGCCGATACGATTTTCCCGAATTTAGTAACGTCGCACCTCCTTCGTTAAATCTCGCCAGAACTGCCGGCCCGCAATGGGTAACTGCTTCTCGTCCGGCAACGACGACGGCAACTGTCGCGTCTCTGCGCGCGAGCGACGCCGCGAGACGCGACGGAAGGGCGATTCTCTGCAAAATGGCTCTCTTGCAGGTGTGCGCGGGAGCAATGCGGTGGGGTGGTGCATGGCAGAGCATGCGCGGTAGGTGGGAGGTGGGTACGCGGTGCGTAGGTGGTGTGTGCGCGGTGCGTAGGTGGTGTGTGCGCGGCGCGTAGGTGGTGTGTGCGCGGTGCGTATAGTGATCTGGAAAAGAGGTACTTATACCCCGTCCCAGCGTCCGCTGCAGGAGGATTTGCTAAACGCGACTTTTCTTGAGTCATCATGGCGTGATGGTACCGATTCCAACCGATGTAAACTTGATCCTTACCCCTCCCGCCTTCGCAGGGTCGTCAGGCGGCGCGGCGAGCAGCAAGGAGAGGGAGCGCCGCGTGGCGGCTTATCTGGCGGCGGAGCAGCAGCGGGACGGCCAGCTGGCACTGCTGACCAATCGGGGGACGGCGAATGGGTTCTTTCCACGTGTGCCGCGCGCCACGTCGGACACGGACTCCGCTAGCAGCAAAAACTTCAGCGGAAGCAGCAGCAGCAGCAGCGGTACCAGTGACAGCAGCAGCGACAGCAGTAGTACCACTAGCACTCACAGCACCAGCAGCAGCACCAGCAGCAGCAGCAGCAGCAGCAGCAGCAGCAGCGGCAGTGGCTGTGGTGGTGGCGGTGGTGGGATGCAGTTGCACTGCAGCATGTTCTCTCTGGGCGGACAGAAAGGCACCAACCAAGACTCCATGGTGGCATGGCAGGTACCATACCCACCCATCATCGCTGGTTCTTGCCCTTCCCCCTTCCCTTTCGTTCTTCCCTTGTACATTTCCTCCTCTCTTACCCCTATTCCCCCCTCGCATCCTTTCCTCTTCCTTACCTTACCTTCCCCTTCCCGTCCTGGCAGTCCTTTGCTGGATCTGCCTTCGTGCTGTGCGACATGCCATGATGGACGGCCGTGGTCGCTTCCCAGTCGATCTCCCCATTCCCCTCACGATCTCCGCACCGTCTCTCCCCACTCCCAGTCTTTTGCAGGACCTACCTCCGTGCTGTGCGCCGTGATGAACGGCCATGGCCGCCTTCTAGCCCACTCAAACTGTCCTCCTTACCCTCTCCTTCCCCTCTCCTTCCCCCCTCCCACCTGCAGTCCTTCGCAGGACCCGCCTCCGTGCTGTGCGCCGTGATGGACGGCCATGGCCGCTTCGGCCACACAGTCTCTGCACGCGTGAGGGACTCCTTCCCCTCGCTGCTCTCTCAACGCCTCTTCCCGCACGCCAATGATGCTGATGCCGCATCGCCATGTGATGCTGACACCGCATCGCCATGCGATGGTGATGCATCAGTGGGGGGTGCTGCACACGTGGCGGAGCAGCAGTGGAGGGAGGCCGTGTGCGGCGCGTTTGAGGCCGTTGATCGTGAAGTGAAACTGCATCCGGCCGTTGATCCCCTCATCAGTGGCAGCACAGCGGTGGTGGCGATGGTTCAAGTGAGTTCGCCGCAACCTCCCTCCCCTCGCCCTAAAACCTCTTCCCTCTCTTTCTGCAACTCTCTCCAACCTCACTTTTTTTTTGTCTGTTTTTTTCCTGAATTTCCAAAAAGCAATTTTCTCTCTCCTCCCCTACCACTTCCGTACTGCTCCTCCCCCCAACCTTCCTACCTCAGCACGACCGGCTATTCCTCGCCAACCTCGGTGACTCCCGTGCCGTGCTCGCCAGACGGGCACACTCACCTGCTTCCTGCGGCGCCACGTCAGCTGCTGACGTGGCTCTTGGTTGTGCTGACACGTCAGCCAAGCCAACCCACAGCCAGCACCACCACCAATCAGATCATCCCAGCTGTCACGCTCTCGAGGCCGTCGCCCTGACTTCCGACCACAAGTGCTCCGACCCAACAGAGGGCGCCCGGATCCGGAAAGCGGGCGGCAGAGTGGAGGCGCTAGAGGACGAGAGGCACGTGCAGAGGATCTGGCTGCCCAATGAGATGGCGCCGGGCCTCGTCACGTCCCGGGCGGTGGGCGATTTCCTGCTGAAGGGATTCGGAGTGACCTGCGAGCCTGATGTTACCGTGTTACCAGTGGAAGACGGGGACGAATTCCTCATCCTGGCGACCGACGGGGTACGAAACATTGTTCTGACCGGAATCTGAGCATTTCTGACCAAGTCGCTCCGTTGTCCCTATCCTTTTGATCGCTAAACAGATCGCTTAACACTCCCCTCTCTCCGTTGTGCCCCCCCCCCCCCCCCCCCCTCTCCCACACCACCAGGTGTGGGACGTGCTCTCTCACGAGGAGGCTGTCTCTATCGGCGTCGCCACGTCACGTTTTGAGATGTCTCAAAACTTGTACTCTCCTTCCCCTCTCACCCCACACCACCAGGTGTGGGATGTGCTCTCTCACGAGGAGGCTGTCTCTATCGTTGCCACGTCACCATCCCCTGCCACGTCAGCGGAACGCCTGGTGACGTCAGCGCAGGAGGCCTGGGCGGCCAAGTATCCCAAGGCTCGGCGAGACGACTGCACAGCCGTGGTGCTCTTCCTCCGAACCTCCCTGCCGAACCTGATCCTGGACCTGTCATGCCCTGGTTCGGGAGAAGCTGGCTCGGGAGAAGGCGCAGGAGCAGCAGGAGACGGTGGGCAGTGCATGGCCATGAAGACTGCTTCAACTGGTTCAGCTGCTTTAACTGCTTCGGCTGGTTCGGCTGGTTTGACTGGTGTGACTAGAGAAGAAGACAATGTGGATTGTACTTCTCGAAAACCTTCAAAAGAAAGCAACCGCAGCAGCAGCAGCAGCAGCAGCAGCTTCCCTGTGGTTTTTGACCCTCTGGTTGAAAACCCAGGTACTAGCAGCAGCAGCGGCAGTGGCAGCAGGAGGAATAGTAACAGCAGCAACAGCAGCAGAAACAGCACAAGAGACAGCACGAATGAGAGCTGCAACAGTGGACTTTTGAGAGAGCAAAGCACTGGTGTGGAGTTGGGAACCACTGACACTGCTGTCGCTGCTGCTGCTGCCACTGCTGCTGTCGCAGCCGCAGTACCAACTGTAAATGCAAACTTGCCAGACCGTGCAACAGATGCAGGGGAAGGGGACGGGGCAGTGTTGCCATGTGAAGGTTCTGTCCACTCCGATGCGGGCTCTGATGCCGCGGAACAGTGCTTTGCAGCGCGGCATGGAGATGCGGTTTTCACAGATGAAGGGCTCAGATTCCACCGCAACGACACTGTTGGTGACCTGGCGGCGCTTGATTGGCAGGACGAGCAGGTGCTGGCGAAGAGGACACTGAGGAGATGCCAGGTGGAGGAAGAGGACGGGAAGACGAAAAAGAATGAGCAGCTGAAACGGGGTTTGAGGATGTTTGAATGAGAAGGGTTAGGAGGGCTGTATGGAGGAGGAGGAGAGGAGAGCAGAAGAATGAGAAGTTGGAGAAGAGCAGGTGCTGACTTGCATTGCATGGCAGCACACCTTGTACAGTATTACGCATGGATATGTTCCATATAGTGTCAGCATAAGAATCTAATGTACTTCGTACCCTATTACAATGTTGGGTGGATTTTTTTAGCTTAGTCTTCTAAATCTTGAAGGAACTAGTATCTACTATGAAACAACCGAGCCTGCATAACCAGAGGATGCCTACTATTCGAGGATAAACTGATGCCCTGCCCCTGTGATGCTTTTTCTCCAGCAGTGTTGAATTCCAGAGAGTATGGGGAGCAGAGTACGGTACAAAGCTTCAGGCCTACACTATTAAACTGCCAAACACTTTATTTATAGCATATAGGGTAGGCAGGATAGCATGCCAGCTGTCGTTTTATATACAGGCACATCAGGGCAAACACACATGGGGGATGGGGAGGAACGGAAGGGGGGAAAGGTGGGGGGGAAGGGGTGTGGGGGGTGGAGGAGGAGTTCAGTGCAGGCTGATGCGATGTCCTCCTAATGTGGTCGGTGGTCAGGCGAAGCTTTGCAGCGACAGCATCACTTCTCATGGCTTCAAACCAAAGCGCTCAAGGCAGCTCCAAGCCAAGGCGAGGCGAGCCACTTCTGAGAAGTCTGAAAGGCGATCCTAGTAAGCAGCAGCAGCATCAGCAGCAGCAGCAGCAGTGGTTGGGTTGGTCAGTGGCTGGGTCACTTCACGCGGTTTCTGGCGACCCAGTGATCCCCAAGTGAATCTCCTTTGAGAATTCTCACAAGTGATTCAGCCAAGCAGCAGCGGCTGGGTTGGTCAGGCCAGCTCACGAGCTTTCAGGAAGAGGAGGCAGCTCGAGGTGCAGCGAGTCTTGAGGCGCCCGAGGACTGCTGGTTAGTCGAATTACGAGCTTTCTGGAAGAGAAGGCAGCTCCAGGTGCAGGCCGGTACCGATCACAGGGCACGGCCGCACAAACGACACTTCGCTCTCTGTTGTGTGCGAGTCGCCATCAGGGCACTGGGGAAGAGGGGTGGTAGCATGGGGGCAAGGTCGAGAGGTATCAGCACAGAATGTGTTTTAGAGAACGAGAAGGGAGGAAGAGAACGAGAGGGGGGAAGAAAAGAGGCCTCACCGTGAACTTTGGTCGGATGGAGAGGGAGCAGGGCTGGGACTCGGTCCTCTGGCAAACGGGGCGGTTGTTGGAGCGCCAATCCGCCTCTCCACGCTTCACGATGTTGAGAGACCATGGGTCCAGTGCACCCAGCGCAGCTGCCGTGTACCTGCAGAAAGTCAAGGAGAAGGGGTGGCTGTTGAGGCAGACACACAGACACAAAACTTAACGGCTTAAAAAATATTGGCTTTTATTGACAACTGACAATGCCGGCTCAAGAAAGTGCGGCATACCCGAAGGTCGAGTAGTCGGAAACAACAAGGCGGCGAGAGAAGGAGAGGAGGAACATCTCAACCAGCGCTGATTGAGTTACTAAGACACCTCTGACGTTTCGGGAAAGCAGCGGCGGCATACCCAAAGGTCGAGTAGTCAGAGACAACAAGGCGGTGAGAGAAGGAGAGGAGGAACATCTCAACCAGCGCTGATGCGTACTGCTGCCTGTCGTCCTGCCTCTCCGCTGCGTCATGGGACTCGCTGCAGGGGAGGGGGTGGGCGGGACGGGAGGGAGCGAGGGTGGGTATGCTTGAGTCAGTTTTGAGGCATCACGAATGAGAGGCGGACAGAGAGAGTGGGACACCATGAGAAACGGAGAGGTTTAACTGAGTGCGGTGTGCAAACAGTATACGAGGAATGAGAAGAGGTAAATGTATACATGTGCCTCACACCGCATATGGTTTGCCCACCTGTGGAAGGTGACAGTGTGAGCTGACTGCGGTTTGCCTTGGGAGTAAATGGCGGCAAGGCGAGTGGCATAGGTGCCGTTGAGAGAGATGTGTCTGGAGACGCCTCAGAACTCAAGGCATACTCTTCACGCACCTGTGGAAGGTGACAGTGTGGGCTGATTGCGGTTTGCCTTGGGAGTAGAGGGCAGCAAGGCGAGCAGCATGGGTGCCGTTGAGAGACGCCACGAACACGCCGATTGACTGCCCTCGCGCTCCCCTCAACCCCTCGTCGTCCACCTGACAAGTCACATGCACCAGGATGCAGGAGAAGGGTCAAACACACAAGGCCAGGCGAGAGCCATATTTTGATGAGGCAAGCCTTTAAGAGCCATTAAGAACCATTTTAAGCAGCCAGGAAGAAAGGCTGATGAGGTGCATAGTGTCTCTTGGTGCCTCTTAGTGTTTCCTCGTGCTCCACCAGAACGCAGCAGCAGCGCGGATTAACAGACACCATGTGTATCCCTTGCCTTCCCTCAACCCGCCCTATGCACCCCATGCCTGCATCCCACGCACGCCATACACCCCTCCCCTTGCACCCAGACATACATCATCAGCCATGGCCTGCCATTGGTCGGGCGGGATGACAGCTGGCAGGTACTGCGTGCTGATGAGACACGTCAGCACACGGTCAAAGATGTCCTCTGGGGTCTCTTCCACCGGACGCACCTGATGGTGAGGGGGGGGAGGGGGGCAGGGGGGAATTGGGGGGAGGGGGGCAGGGGGGAATTGGGGGGAGGGGGGCAGGGGGGAATTGGGGGGAGGGGGGGAGGGGGGAATTGGGGGAAGGGAGGAGGACGAGGTCAATGTTGAGAGCGTCACAGATGTCCTCCGGGGTCTCTTCCACTGGGTGCACTTGATTGGTGGAGGGCAGGCAGTCAGGCGGGTGCCTGCACCAGTAGTCACCTCAAACAGTAAGCAGCAGCTCACCTGCAGCCCCACCAGCACGTCTTGATGCTCCATGTGGTGGAAGGGTTTCATAACGTGGCTTCAGAGATGGTAAGCAAGCACCTTCGCCAGTAACACCTGCCCTCACCTGCAGCCCCACCAGCACGTCTTGATGCTCCATGTGGTGGAAGGGTTTCATAACGTGGCTTCAGAGATGGTAAGCAAGCACCTTCGCCAGTAACACCTGCCCTCACCTGCAGCCCCACCAGCACGTCTTGATGCTCCATGTGGTGGAAGGGTTTCATAACGTGGCTTCAGAGATGGTAAGCAAGCACCTTCGCCAGTAACACCTGCCCTCACCTGCAGCCCCACCAGCACGTCTTGATGCTCCATGTGGTGGAAGGGTTTCATAACGTGGCTTCAGAGATGGTAAGCAAGCACCTTCGCCAGTAACACCTGCCCTCACCTGCAGCCCCACCAGCACGTCTTGATGCTCCATGTGGTGGAAGGGTTTCATAACGTGGCTTCAGAGATGGTAAGCAAGCACCTTCGCCAGTAACACCTGCCCTCACCTGCAGCCCCACCAGCACGTCTTGATGCTCCATGTGGTGGAAGGGTTTCATAACGTGGCTTCAGAGATGGTAAGCAAGCACCTTCGCCAGTAACACCTGCCCTCACCTGCAGCCCCACCAGCACGTCTTGATGCTCCATGTGGCCGTGGAAGGCCCTCACAACGCGATCCCAGAGGTAATTGGCTGGCAAGAGGATGTAGCTGGTGGGGTGATTGCAGGGGGGTTGGAGGGGAGGAGAGAGAAAGGGGGATGGCAGGGATGAACGGTTGTGAAAGGTGCGCGCAATGTGGTCCCAGAGGTAATTGGCCGGCAGGAGGATGTAGCTGGTGGGGTGATTGCAGGGGGGTTAGGGAGGAGATAAGGGAGGAGAGAGAAAGGGGGATGGCAGGGTTGAACAGCTGTGGAAGGCCCTCACAATGTGACCCCAGAGGTAATTGGCCGGCAAGAGGATGTAGCTGGTGGGGAGGGTGCAACGGGATTGAATGGGGGACGGGGGGGAGGAGAGAGTGGGCAGTCCTACAACACGCACTCGCACACACTCTCGTTCACGCATTCGGTTTCTCGCATGTGAGCATCCGCCCAGTTTTGAAACGCCTCAAAACTAGGCGTGTTTTGAGGCGCCTCAAAACTCGTTCGGTCGCTCGCATGCGGGCATCCGCCCAGCTACTCATGATCACGCGTGAAGACATTTGTGTCGACTCAATGTTACACGCCCATCCACCCACCCACCCAGCAACTCACCGTGCCACGTGTGTGAAGACCCGGCGATCCGGAAACAGCACCTCCAGGCGAGTCTGCAGCAGGAGGGGACAGGGAGTTGAGAGTAGGGCGGTCATGAGAGGGGTCAATGCGAGGGGGTGATGCATCAAGGGAGGTAAGAGTAACTGCTAAGGTACAGAAAAGAGAAAAATGAAGGAGCACAGCGGCACAAAGGGAGAAGGCAGTACTGCGAGGGAGGGGACGAAGTAGAGCGGAGGGAGAAAGTACCGTCATCTCCCGGTTAGAAGACCCGGGGTTCTTATCCTAAATGTGCTAAAAATGACTTGTGGGGTCTTATTTGATGGCATATAGTTCACAAGACCCCCGGACATCTATTAATTACAAAAAATGGATTGTAAGGAAAAAAGTTCAAAGAAATTCGGATTTTTTTTCTGCGAACTCGAGTTTAGCTCAAAACGAGGAGCGTATCGCCACATTCGCGCATGCCACGTGCCACACATTTGAGAATGTCGGACAGCAGCAACACCAGTCACTTCTGGGGCCGCGGCATCGCGCCTCCTGATTGGGATCTGAATCATTCGCATGACTGACGCGCCTATAACCATATAGTATGTACAGTTGTATATGAAATACTTCAAATTCGGTATATAAAGTTACAGAATATTCGAAATTTTGAAAAAAACGGGGAAGAAGGGGGGTCTTCTATTAAATGGGGTCAAAACACGGGTCCTCTACAGGACTGACATAATAAAAGACCCTTGGTCCGGATAAAGGACCCAGGGGCTTGTACGCGGGGGGGGTCTTCTTGCCGGGAGATTACGGTACATGTCACTCTAGAACGTCATAAAGGGAGCAGAGGGGCAATACAGGAGCTAAAAGCGCTTGCTAGGAAGCCAAGGCATCAAAGGACCAGGAAGCAGTACGGCGAGGGAGGGCACGAAGTAGAGCGGAGGCACGAAGTACATGTCACTCCAGAACATCATGAAGGTTTTCTCCGCCATCTCCTCCTGTGTGCGCCGACAGAAAAACGTCCACTCCTCCTCAGGCGTTCTGACACACATGGGTGGGTGGGTGGGCGGGTGGGTGGGTGAGTGGGTCAGTGGGTCAGTGGGGGTGGGTTGGGGAGTTCAAGACACAAGGGCACTGAATAAGACACAATGATATGAGGTGCCTGCAAGGTGCATGAAGGGGCTTTTGGGCACCTCAGCAGTCGACTCGAGGGCGCTGAATAAGGCACAACAGCAGGAGGTGCCATCAACACCCACCCTCCCATCCCCTTCGTTACACTCACACCCAGTTGAGGTGGCAGAACACCCCTCGCGAGTGCCTTTTAAGTTGCCTCAAACAGTCAACATCCACCCACCCACCCACCAGCCAATCCCGCTCGTTACACTCACACCCAGTCCAAGTGGCAGAACACCCCTCGAGAGTGTCTGTCTGCCTGCTCCGCCACGTTGCGAGGGCCCTGCTCCAAATCCGCCTTGATGCCCCTGGGGGGGGAGAGAGGGGAAAAGGAAGAATAGTGCGCATCGCGAAAGTGGCATTGGGAAAAGAGGGAGGGAATGCCCGTCCGCCTGCTCCGCCACGTTGCGAGGGCCCTGCTCCAAGTCCGCCTTGATGCCCCTGGGGGGGGAGAGAGGGGAAAAGGAAGAATAGTGCGCATCGCGAAAGTGGCATTGGGAAAAGAGGGAGGGAATGCCCGTCCGCCTGCTCCGCCACGTTGCGAGGGCCCTGCTCCAAGTCCGCCTTGATGCCCCTGGGGGGAGAGAGAGGGGAAAAGGAAGAATAGTGCGCATCGCGAAAGTGGCATTGGGAAAAGAGGGAGGGAATGCCCGTCCGCCTGCTCCGCCACGTTGTGAGGGCCCTGCTCCAAGTCCGCCTTGATGCCCCTGGGGGGGGAGAGAGGGGAAAAGGAAGAATAGTGCGCATCGCGAAAGTGGCATTGGGAAAAGAGGGAGGGAATGCCCGTCCGCCTGCTCCGCCACGTTGCGAGGGCCCTGCTCCAAATCCGCCTTGATGCCCCTGGGGGGGGAGAGAGGGGAAAAGGAAGAATAGTGCGCATCGCGAAAGTGGCATTGGGAAAAGAGGGAGGGAATGCCCGTCCGCCTGCTCCGCCACGTTGCGAGGGCCCTGCTCCAAGTCCGCCTTGATGCCCCTGGGGGGGGAGAGAGGGGAAAAGGAAGAATAGTGCGCATCGCGAAAGTGGCATTGGGAAAAGAGGGAGGGAATGCCCGTCCGCCTGCTCCGCCACGTTGCGAGGGCCCTGCTCCAAGTCCGCCTTGATGCCCCTGGGGGGGGAGAGAGGGGAGAAGGAAGAATCGTGCGCATCGCGAAAGTGGCATTGGGAAAAGAGGGAGGGAATGCCCGTCCGCCTGCTCCGCCACGTTGCGAGGGCCCTGCTGCAAGTCCGCCTTGATGCCCCTGGGGGGGGAGAGAGGGGAAAAGGAAGAATAGTGCGCATCGCGAAAGTGGCATTGGGAAAAGAGGGAGGGAATGCCCGTCCGCCTGCTCCACCACGTTGCGAGGGCCCTGCTCCAAGTCCGCCTTGATGCCCCTGGGGGGGGAGAGAGGGGAAAAGGAAGAATAGTGCGCATCGCGAAAGTGGCATTGGGAAAAGAGGGAGGGAATGCCCGTCCGCCTGCTCTGCCACGTTGCGAGGGCCCTGCTCCAAGTCCGCCTTGATGCCCCTGGGGGGGAGAGAGGGGAAAAGGAAGAATAGTGCGCATCGCGAAAGTGGCATTGGGAAAAGAGGGAGGGAATGCCCGTCCGCCTGCTCCACCACGTTGCGAGGGCCCTGCTCCAAGTCCGCCTTGATGCCCCTGGGGGGGGAGAGAGGGGAAAAGGAAGAATAGTGCGCATCGCGAAAGTGGCATTGGGAAAAGAGGGAGGGAATGCCCGTCCGCCTGCTCCGCCACGTTGCGAGGGCCCTGCTCCAAGTCCGCCTTGATGCCCCTGGGGGGGGAGAGAGGGGAAAAGGAAGAATAGTGCGCATTGCGAAAGTGGCATTGGGAAAAGAGGGAGGGAATGCCCGTCCGCCTGCTCCGGCACGTTGCGAGGGCCCTGCTCCAAGTCCGCCTTGATGCCCCTGGTGGGGGAGAGAGGGGAAAAGGAAGAATAGTGCGCATCGCGAAAGTGGCATTGGGAAAAGAGGGAGGGAATGCCCGTCCGCCTGCTCCGCCACGTTGCGAGGGCCCTGCTCCAAGTCCGCCTTGATGCCCCTGGGGGGGGAGAGAGGGGAAAAGGAAGAATAGTGCGCATCGCGAAAGTGGCATTGGGAAAAGAGGGAGGGAATGCCCGTCCGCCTGCTCCGCCACGTTGCGAGGGCCCTGCTCCAAGTCCGCCTTGATGCCCCTGGGGGGGGAGAGAGGGGAAAAGGAAGAATAGTGCGCATCGCGAAAGTGGCATTGGGAAAAGAGGGAGGGAATGCCCGTCCGCCTGCTCCGCCACGTTGCGAGGGCCCTGCTCCAAGTCCGCCTTGATGCCCCTGGGGGGGGAGAGAGGGGAAAAGGAAGAATAGTGCGCATCGCGAAAGTGGCATTGGGAAAAGAGGGAGGGAATGCCCGTCCGCCTGCTCCGCCACGTTGCGAGGGCCCTGCTCCAAGTCCGCCTTGATGCCCCTGGGGGGGGAGAGAGGGGAAAAGGAAGAATAGTGCGCATCGCGAAAGTGGCATTGGGAAAAGAGGGAGGGAATGCCCGTCCGCCTGCTCTGCCACGTTGCGAGGGCCCTGCTCCAAGTCCGCCTTGATGCCCCTGGGGGTAGGGGAGAGGAGGGAGAGGATAGCTCATCAATTGCAGTTGCATTTGCATGACAAAGGCAGGGACGAGCAGACAGAAGTGATTGAGGCGCCCTCACAATAACATCGCGCTCACCAGAAGTGGGAAGCAGGGATGAGCCAGGAGGAGTGCGCGAAGGGGTTGCAAAGGAGGGAGGGCATGACAAGCAGACACATACGATACAAGCTCACAAGAAGGGGTACTCTCACAATGACAGCACGGCGCTCACCAGAAGTGCGAGGACGGGATGAGCCAGGAGGAGTGCGCGAAGGGGTTGCACAGGAGGGAGGGCATGAGGCCATCGTCTGGCATGAGTATGGCTCGGTGCGTGATGAAGGCGTATGTGAAGGTGGAGACCAGCGACATGATGCGGTTGCCTAGACCTGCACAAAAGGGATGGTTTGAAGAGGAGAGTTGCGGGTTAGTGGCTGATGAAGCATATGTGAAGGTGGAGATCAGCGACATGATGCGGTTGCCCAGGCCTGGAAGGAAGGGATGGTGGTGGGGTAGAGGAGGGAGTGCATGAGAATGGCTCGGTGCGTGATGAAGGCGAATGTGAAGGTGGAGACCAGCGACATGATGCGGTTGCCCAGACCTGAAAAGACGGTGGGATGGAGAGACGTAGGTTAGCGGCTAAGGCGTACCATTTCAACACCCACCCTCCCATCCACCATTACAGATCAAATCAGCCCACTCACTCACTCACCGTGCCACTGGCCAGGTATCAGAAATGCGTACTTGCACCCTTCCACGTCCGCTGCTGGTGACAGACCCTCGGACCTAATGAATGAAGAGACGCAGGGGGGACATTGAAGGGGGTGAATGAGGCGAGAAAGGAGAACGGGCAATGAGGGGCTGAACCCTGGTTATGAGTCAACTCTAGACCTGCACCCTTCCACGTCCGCTGCTGGTGACGGCCCTCGGACCTGGTGAATGAAGAGGCGCAGGGTGGACAATGAGGGGGATGGGTGAGGTGACAAAGGAGAACGCGCAATGATGGGCTGAGGCCTCGTTGTGAGACAACTCTAGATCTGCACCCTTCCACGTCTGCGGCTGGTGACAGCCCCTCGGGCCTAATGAAGCAGCACACAGGGCAGTGTGAGGGGGATGGGTGAGGCGGGGAAGGAGAACGCGCATGACACGCAGTACACGCATTAGCGCGCAATCACATACTCTCTCTGAAGCATCCATAGCACTCACTGGTTGAAATAGAAGACCTTCCAGTCAGTGATGCCTTCCGTGCACCGCTGGTGCATGCGCTCGTACTCCGTCTTCTGCCTCACAAACGCGGCTGATGGCTCCACGTGCGCTCCTGCCTGCCACGTTCCCAACATGAGGCAAGACCGGAGAAGGGGGGCGTGACACATGGTAAGTGTGAGATGGTTGAACCGACTCATACTTTGCCCGTCTTTTGCCTCGTAGACGCGGCTGATGGCTCCACGTGCTCTCCTGTCACCAGCACAAGGCAAGGCAAAAGAGAGGGGGGGGGAGGGGGGGTGGGGTTGGGGGGAAGGGGGTGACGCTTGCTGAGAGGCGGTTGAAAAAACTCCCACTCTGTCTGATTCACATCGACCTGCCATGCTTGTACAAGTGCTGACCCTCCCCAGAACCGACCCTTTCCGGTGAGCAACCTGTCCCATCACCAACCGCATCACACCAACCTGCCAGTACTGGTGTCGCTCGTGCTTGCTCCAGCACTCCTTCTTGCCGCGGATCAACCGTCTCCGCCTGTGCATATGCCCCTCGAGCATCATATCATATGAAAGAAGACGTCTCCGATGTTGCTGACGTGGCATGTGCACAAGCCCCTCCCGATGCTGCTGCTGCTGCTGCTGCTGCTGCTGCTGCTGCTGCTGCTGCTGCTGCTGCTGCTGTGCAATCTGCCGATTCAAATTCTGCTGCAATGTCCGATCCTTGCTCCCATCATCGTCGTTCCTGAGTCGCCTGTCATCGGCAGCTCTCGAGATCCACAGTCCCCCTCTCGAGACTGTCGCTCCTCTGGTCTGCTGCGGCAGTCCCGCCAGGCCACGCCAAATTCGCTGACGGCCAATGAAAACCGAATTTCTCTCCGCGGCATCCTCCCCCTCCGTGCCGCCCTTCGCCGACAGAACCGCGCTGACTTCTTCCCTAGATTCCAACGAAGTGGATATCTTTCTCCGAGTCGCGTCAAAACGGGACGCGTCGAGCACATCCCCAGATATTGCCGAGAAGGACTCCTCCTCAGATATTGCCGAGGTGAACTCCTCCCCAGATATTGCCGAGGTGAACTCCTCCCCAGATATAGCCGAGGAGGACTCCAAACCAGACAAGGCTAATGCCGGTGTAAGGTTGAGGGGGAGTAGGAGGAGGAGCAGGAAGAGGGAGTTGGAGGGGACGATTCGTCTGAAAATGCCCAAGGGAGCTCGGGACAAGCGACGAGGATCCCGGAGAGAGATCATGATGGTTGCTCGACGCAGCACGCGCCGAGGGCTTGTTCTTAGCCGTTTCATGCCGTCAAACTTTCTGGGGGAAACAACGACGACTTAATCTTTCGCTCGCTGCGGCGACAGCGATGTCTCTTCCGACTATGACGATGCGTACTATTCACGGTGCGTGGATGCGACGCGAGTGCTAGAAAATGGAGAGCCGCGGATCACGTGCAGAGGGAGAATAAAAGCGCATGGAATCGAATTACGATTCGGCTCGAAACCTGCGAGCTGCCTCGATTGCGCTAGTACTACTCGTACTGATATTCCAAACTTTGGCTCAACATGAGGGTCCGGTGCGTGCAGATGGGAGCACTGATACGCACGCATCATCGTCGAACGCTCACATAGGGCAGCAGGGCAGACCTTTGCCGTAGTAGAGTCAACAGAGCAGACCCTGACGCGCGTCAAGCAACCGAAATCGTCAGGCAAACCCTGAAGCGGCATCCTCCTCCTTGGTTCTCTGCTGCTTCCTACCCTGAGGAAACGACGCTCCAGCTGAGTCAGCCGCGCCGATGCCAGTCTGGTGCGAGCTCAGGGATTATTGTCAATGGCAGTTGAACCGCGAAGCAAAAAGACAGAGAATACCGCGGTAACTGACGGCTGTTGACTTAACCCTAGACAATTGTTTAGACCGAAACAAGAGCTCGGAGGTAGTAGTCGACGTAACCGACGGTTGACGTAAAGAGCGTAACAAAACTCGGAAAATACCAAGGTAACTGACGGTTCAGGCTGAAACAAAAACTTCGACGCTGCACTAACTGATGGTTCAGATAGAATCGTCGAAACTGGCAGGTGACTTTCTCGTGGAACATCTCAGAGATTATCATTGGACGCTTGCCTCTCGCACTTCGGCAAAACATTCTTGGGGCTCAATCGGGTCGGTCGGGACTCGGGAGGAATCGTCCTGCGTAAGCTAGCCAAGGAAGGAGGGTGCCGCGCTGCGCGGGATGGACTGGCCGGAGATTAATGGTGCTGTACGGATCGACATAAAAGCCAAGCGCAGGTGCTAACCAGATTTATGTACGTATGCTTGTTCCAACTTCCAACTTCCAAACCAACCCAATCCAACCAACCTCCAAATGCACACACGCAGCTAGTCGGTCAGTCAACAATGTCCGCCCCCGGTGAAACTGCTGTTCCGTTTTCCCGTCAACCGGTGCAGCGTTTTTATTGGTTGGCAATGGCAATGGCAACCTGGCGCGTCGGCTCGACACGGCACGGCACCACCTACGGTCTGGGATGGATGTCAGGTGCCAGTCAACAGTTACTCCCTCCACAAGATGGGCAGCTTTACTTGGGACTAATACACTCTAGTTTATCAAAATCAGGCACCACTATGTTACAGTTGTTATCCTCTTTACTACGGTATGTTAGGTCCCCCCTATGTAAACCCTGGCTAGACGGGAGACGCAATGTTGGTAGATACAAGTTGGGGTGCGCAATGTCCGAAAGCAATGAACGGTAGCTTTGAGGGTTGATGATACCGTATCGGGTCGGACCTGCATGTCTGTAACATTTCATCCGTCCGCGATGTGTCATACAATGGCGTGGCGTGATAGGGAGTGCGGCCAATGACATTGCAGCATAGGGTCACAATAGGCTGACATGAAATGCATCATCATCGTGAAGTGCTATTTCTTGCTACCGTATGTCATTCTATCAATATTTAATTCCAACCTCATGCCACACACTACTAAGCTCCTCTTGTGTTCCCCCCCACCCTTCTATTTTCCTCCTAGTCCTCAAACCCCATGCTCATGCTCCCTCTTCAAACTCCTCGCCTTTCTCTTCCCCCTCCTCCTCCTCTTCCTCCTCCTCTTCCTCCTCTTCCTCCTCTTCCTCCTCCTCCTCCTCCTCAAGGTCTAGTACCAACACCCTCCGCTGAGCCCCAAACACAGCAGCCAAGCCACGAGCGGCTGCCGGGGGAGGGGGAACAGAGGTGATTGGGGGTGGGGCAGCAATGAGAACATTTGTTAAGTTGACTAAAACTTTCCTTGTCCTCTTCCTCCTCTCCCTCCCCGTCTTCTTCCTCAAGGTCTAGTATCAACACCCTCCGCTGAGCCCCAAACACAGCAGCCAGGCCGCGAGCAGCTGCGGGGAGGAGGAAGGGAACAGAGGAAAAGCGGGGTGGGGCAGCAACGAGAACACTTTTAACTAAAACTCAAAACTCGTCCTCCTCTTCTTCCTCCTCCTCAAGGTCCAGTACCAACACCCACCGCTGAGCCCCAAACACAGCAGCCAGACCGCGAGCGGCTGCAAAGGGGGAACAAAAATTGGGGGGGAGAGAGGGGAGGTGGGGTGGGGCATCAACAAAGAAGTACGTGTTAGGTGCGGCTGGAAGAAGCGAGGGAGGAAAGGAAGCAAGAAAAAGGAGGTGAAAACGAGCTCGGGGAGTGTGAGAGGGAGCAGCACAGCACGCAGTGCGGAAAGTGGCAAAGGTGTGGATGCTCGAACTAGAACCGAAGCTAAGGGGCAAGTGAGGGCACATGGCAACCATGGGGGAGCAGGTGAAAGGGTCCAACTAAGCACGGAGAGAGGCTCACAGCTGAAGGCCCCGAGGGGCCTTCCGAGGTGCATGTGAAGGTGAGAGGCTCACAGCTAGCAGCGAGCGGGGCGAGGGGGCGGGCAAAGGTGAGAGGGCGCTCCCTGAGGCCTTCTGAGGGCAGGGGCTGTGAAGGCGGTAGATGCTGCACAAGGGGGAAGGGAGGGAGGGGAGGGGGGAATGGGAAAGGGGAAGAGAGGGGGGGGGGGGGCGAAGGTGAGAGGTCGCTCCCTGAGGCCTTCTGAGGGCAGGGGCTGTGAAGGCGGTAGATGCTGCACAGGTGGGGGGGGAGGCGGAGGAGGGAAGGGGGGGAAATCGGGGATAAGGGTGATACGGGATGTGAGGTAAGGAAGGGTGTTGTTCAGTTACTCGCACTCACATGCGCACACACAGGCAACACATGCACCTATGCACGCACACAAGCACAAGCAAGCACACGGTCGTACCTGCAGGAGAGTGTCTTCTTGACCTAGCTGGATCTCTGTGAATGCCAGTCCCTCTACTGGACACACCACCAGCCTCCCCTGCTGCTGCTGCTGCCATGCACACTCACGTACGAACACACAGGCACACACATGCACCTATGCACGCACGCAAGCACAAGCAAGCACACACTCGTACCTGAAGGAGTGAGTCTCCTTGACCCAACGGTATTCCTGTAAACACCAGACCCTCCACCGGACACAATAGAAGCCTCCCTTGCTGCTGCTGCTGCTGGTCCCCGCCTTGCTGCTGCATGCTCCCCCCTGCTGCTGAACCGGCTCCTTTAGAGGTAGCAGCAGCATTGAGCAGCAGTGCAATGTGGTGGTCCTGGGGTAGCAGGCAGGCAGAGGGGTGGATGGATACACACATGAAAGAGGGATACGGAAAGGAGGAAACGAGGGAAAGGACGCGAGGAGTGTGATCCATGCAACACTTTCTGCAAAAAACCTCATTGGGCGGACTAGCATGCATGATGGGGATGGTACCTGATGTGATGTCCTTATACATTGCGATACATTGCAATGTCTGTGACCACCATGCCTTGCCCCACATCCACCACCGCTGCCTGCGTGCCTCATGGTACCTATATGGTACCTTTTTGGTACCTTATACATTGCGATACATTGCAATGTCTGTGACCACCACGCCATGCCCCACATCCACCGCTGTTGCCTCCAACCCTCTGAGATGTTTAGCTGACTCAAAATGCACCTCAGGAAGGCAACAAGCATGTGTATGTGCATGCATGCATGGGTAACCCAGTACCTTATACATTGCAATGTCTGTGACCACCATGCCATCCCCCACATCCACCACCGCTGCCTCGACCCCTCCTGCTCCCGCTGCTGCTGTTGCTGCTGCTGCTCCTGCTAGTGAAGGTGCAGGGTGATTTGCAGCGGACAACGGCATTCGAAGCACCAACACTTGGCTGCTGCTGCTGCTGCTGCTGCTGCTGCTGCTCCCAGCAGCAGGGGTGGAGGACGGAAGGAGAGGAACCGCGAGGAGGCATTTGGCCGCGGGGAAAATGGTGGTGGCGGTGCTGGTGGCTATGCCGGTTGCAGCTGAGTTGACAGGTGTGTAAGGCTGCAGTGATAAAAACAGGGGGTAGGATAGAAAGACGAGGATTCATGATTCAATTATTGCTGGGATGATGTTGTCTGGCGATACAAGAGTGGGCGAAGACGTGAGAGTAGAATTTACTTTTGAGGCGTCTCATAATGACTTTGAGATGGCTTTTAAGGCGCCTAGAAAATATGGCGATACGAGAGCGGGCAAAGACGTGACAACAGAATTCCGGCAACTAGGCAGGCAAGAGGTGAGTGGGGGGAAATGGGTAGAGGGAAAATAATGGAGAGAAACAAATTAATGTAGCGGAATGAGTGGAGGAGGGAGCAATTGAGAGGTGGAGAGATGAGAGGGAAAGATGAACCAGAAGGAAAGTGATTTTTCTTTGGTATGTTTTTCAGTCTGTGCCAGTGAAGGAAAGAGATGATCATTAAAATTACTTGTGGGAAGCAGATGCTGATGGGCGCCCGAACAGGCGTGGCGGCTGCCGCTGTGTCTTTAGCTTGTGCTTGAGCAGGTGTTCTCTGTTGGGCGGAAATCTGCTGGGCGGCGAGTATTTGGCTCGAAGTCAGAAGAGGTGTGGTCGGCACAGCAGGCAGAGGCAGGGCACGCACGGCATGAGCAGTGAAGCTGGCTGCTGTGGCTGATAGCACCGCCTCACAACTGGAGAGAGGGAAGAGTTTGGGGTGAGGGGAGAGGGGACAAGGGGAACAGTTGGGGCAGAGGCAGAGGCGGCAGGGCACGCACGGCATGAGCAGTGAAGCTGGCTGCTGTGGCTGATAGCACCGCTTCACAACTGGAAAGGGAGGGAGTGGGGCGAAAAGGGAACAGGTGAGGGTGAGGACTGCAGAAGGTGCAGAGGTAGAGGCAGCAGGGCGTGCACGGCATGAGCAGTGAAGGTGGCTGCTGTGGCTGATAGCACCGCCTCACAACTGAAGAGGGCGGGAGTGGGGCGAATAAGAAACAGGGTGTGGGCACAGCAGGCAGAGGCAGAGGCGGCATGGCACGCACGACTCGAGCAGTGAAGGTGGCTGCTATGGCTGATAGCACTGCTTCACAACTGGAAAGGGGGCATAGAAGAGCGAAAGGGGAAGTGGTGAAGGCAGAGAACGAAGAGGCGGCAGCAGGGGCAGCAGAAGAAGGGGCAGCAGAAGAAGGGGAAGCAGAAGAAGGGGCAGCAGAAGAAGGGGCAGCAGAAGAAGGGGCAGCAGAAGAAGGGGCAGCAGAAGAAGGGGTAGCAGAAGAAGGGGCAGCAGAAGAAGGGGCAGCAGAAGAAGGGGCAGCAGAAGAAGGGGCAGCAGAATAAGGGGCAGCAGAAGAAGGGGCAGCAGAAGCAGCAGCAAAGGCAGGAAAACGACGGCAAAGTTGGTTGAGAAGGAGTGCTGCAAATGAAAGAGCTGCTCTCACAGCTGGTGTGAAATTGGCTGGGTGGGATAGAGAAAAGACGGAGAGGAGAGACAAGAGTGGGAGGAAAACATGTGCGAGCAACAGTGGTCCTATTCCGAACGAAGTGTTTGGTGCTTATCAAGTGGCATTGTAACACTCACCTCTCTCGCACTCGGTCCAGCTGTTTGCGAAGAGTATTCCCTCCCTGGGGGTGCACGGCTGCTGGGTTGGTGATTCCAGCTAGGTCGCAGACGACCTCCCTTAGAAGCACGTCTGGATACAAGAACAACACAACATTCACACAGGTAGTAGACAGGTTGGAGTGTTTGTGAGGAAAACTGGGTGGGAGGGAGGGGAGAGGGAGGACGTGAGGAAGGGTTGCAAAGGTACACACACCAAACCAGACCACCATCACCATCACAAAAACCACCATCATGCCCATCGTCACACATCCCCATCACCACCATCACACATTACCCCATCGCCACCTCCACCAGATTCTACCCTCGCCACGTACCCCCATCCTCGTGGGTGCCACTCGTGATGCCAGCAAACATGGGTGGAGGCGGCACCCTGGCGCCTGGGGAGGTGGCATCTGGGACACGTGGATCCAGGTGCGCCTTCATGGGGTCGCTATTAAAGTGCTGGTGCAGAAAATCCGCCACCACTGCCCTGCTCTGCGGGAGATGGGGGAGAACGAGGAGGAAAGTAGAACAGGTGGCATTTGGGGTAGGTGGATCCATCCTGGTCGCAGGTGGATCTAAGAGGGCATGTAGGCTGGTGGGTCAAGTGCGCCTTAATGGGATGGCAGTCAAAGTGCTGTGCGGAAAGTCCTCCACCACTGCCCTACTCTGTGGGAGATGGGGGGGAAGAGAGGAGGAGAGTGGAGGGGGAAAGGACTTTTGAGTTGACTCACAAGTGCGCCACCACTGCCCTGCTCTGTGGGGGACGCGGGGGAAATAAAGGGAGAGAGGGAGAGGGGGAGAGGGGGAGAAAAAGGCGATTCGGCCACTCCTGCTCTGCTCTGCGGGAGCCCGGGAGAGGGGAGGAAGATCGGAAGAGAGACGAGAGCACTTCTTCGACTAGTAACACTTAGTGATATGTCAGCCGAAGCACTCACGTGTTGACCAGCAGTGCCTGGCTGCTGCTGCTGGCAGCGTTGCCGCCCGGCCGGACGTCCTCGTCCTCATCCTCGTTGGCCGCCCGGATGAAGAGGGCTGATAAACAAGGCTGACAGTTTGTTGGCACTCACGTGTTCACCAGCAGCGCCTGGCTGCTGGCAGCAGTGCCGCCCGGCCTGACGTCCTCGTCCTCATCCTCGTTGGCCGCCCGGATGCAGCGCAGCAGCCACACGCAGCAACACGACTCAGAATCTAGCTGCAGCACTCACGTGTTCACCAGCAGCGCCTGGCTGCTGCTGCTGGCAGCAGTGCCGCCTGGCCGCACGTCCTCGTCCTCATCCTCGTTCGCTGCCCGGATGCAGCGCAGCAGCCACACAAAGAAGGCCGCAAACTGCGGCAGCACCACCGCCAGCAGCCGCACCACCCGCTCACTCCACACCATCGCCACCTGCACCTCCTCCATTGCCTTCTGTAACAGCCCACCTGCACCCACGCCAGCGCTGCCACCTGCACTGCCACTAGCACCACCGCCACCAGCACCCTCACCACCACTTGCACCTGTAGTAACCCCTGCGCCACCAGCACTGCCACCATTGCCCATGCAGTGTGTAAGTCCCAGAGCCTCAAACGGGCTGACTGTTCCTGGAGTGCCAGCAGTGGCAGCTGTAGCAACAGCAGCAGCAGCAGCTGTAGCCGCGAGGGAGTGCAGTGAGGAGAGGCGGAAGAGGGCCTCTTCCAGAGCGGGCATCAGGTGCAGCGTGAGCAGAGCATGCAGCGCGTTCCCCGCTGTCTCTATCGTTCTCGCCAGCCGCTTCACTCCCTGGGGGTGGTAAAAACGGGGGGGTGAAGATAGGGAGGTAAAGTGAGGCAAAATTGTCACTACTGGCCATCGTGAGCAGAGCATGCAATGCATTCCCCGCTGTCTCTATCGTTCTCGCCAGCCGCTTCACTCCCTGCCAGTGAAGCGGCTGGCGGAAACGATAGAGACAGCAGGGAACAGAGGGTGGCATGATCGGCTGTAGTGGTCCATGGAAGGATGAACATTTGCCACGTTGCAGGAACCAGCAACCCCTGAACCATCAACAGCACACATTCAATGCGTCACCAACAGCGCCTCACAGCCAGTCCTTACTGCTTCGCCTGCGAGAGTATCTGAGAAGAAGCTGTTCAAGTCTGTGCTGGCAGTCCCTGTCGCGAGCATGTATAGGAGCTCTGAGCGCGGGTCCGAGGGGCAACCTGAGAAACGGGAACAGGGGACAGGCACGGGTCAGGGCGAGTTCTGAGTGAACTTCGAGTTCACCTCATGCTGTTCAGATCAGTGCTCGCAGCCCCTGTCGCCAGCATGTACAGCAGCTCTGAGCGCGGATCCGAGTGGCAGTCTGAGACACGGAGCAAGGGGGCAGGGTATGGCAAGGGCACGAGCATAGGTAGAGGGGCAACTACTGAGGCGCCGCCTCAATGACTGGCGGCCCCTGTCGCGAGCATGTACAGCAGCTCTGAGCGCGGGTCCGAGGGACAACCTGAGTCATGGGAACAGGGGACAAGCATGGGCCAGGGGGCGATCTGAGTGAACTTAGAGTTCACCTCATGCTGTTCAAATCCGTGCTGGCAGCCCCTGTCGCCAGCATGTAAAGGAGCTATGAGCGAAGGTCCGAGGGCAATCCGAGACATGATCAGAGCAAGGGGCACGCAGGGGCATTTCGAGGGCACAGTTTTGAGACATGATCGGAGCACAACTCTCAACTCGCAGGTATAAAGAGGGCAAGAGAATAGGGCAGTCACCAGCTGCCAGCTCACCAGTCACCTCTTGCCTGCCGCCAGCTCACCATTCTCCTCCAGCAGTCGCTGCAGCCCCTGCACCTTCTCCCGCCACTGACAGCTGGCGGCCTCCCATTGGCCGTGCATCGCAGCCACAGTTGCTGAAACAGACTCCATGAGCCCTGTCAGCGCCGCCCCGTGCGTTGCCACTGCCAACACTTCCCAGGGGCTGATTTGGAAAGAGGGGAAGACAGCAAATATGGGAGGGCAGTGGGAAAAGTGACGTGGGGAGGTTTCCAGCCATAGTAGCAGCAGTTGCTGAAACAGACTCCGTGAGCCCTGTCAGCGCTGCCCCGTGTGTTGCCACTGCCAGCACCTCCCAGGGGCTGCAATGAGGAGAGAAGGAGATAACAGAAACGGGGTAAAAGGTTGCCGGAATCAGCCGTAGCAACCTTTTACCTCCCTGCCTCTCTCTAGGCGCGCTCCACCTGGTGACCCCCCACATCTGCTGCCCACTATATCAAATGTATTTCCACTCTCGCCCACCCACCTGTCTCGCATCATGGGAGTGTGAAACAGTGCCAGCTCATAGCCAGCCTCGCCCTGCTCTGCTCCTGCCTCTCCTGCCGCCCTCAACCTGGTGGGTCCCTACCTACTTACTGCCCTCTACATTGGAATAACTTTTCCACCATCGCCCACCCACCTGTCTCTCATCATGGCCGTGTCATATAGTGCCAGATCACAGCCAGCTCTGCCCTGCTCCTGTCTTGCCTGTTGCCCTTGCTTCCCATCCCGGGTGCTGCTGCTGCTGCTGCTGCTGCTGGCAGTAACGACAATGAGGTGGGCCAGATCAGGTGTCAGCAACGCCTGTCGGGGGCATGTGGGGTGGCAGAGAAAACGTGGAAAGAGGTGGTGTGGTGAGGGGCGTACAAGGAGTTGGGTTGCGAGTGGCGAGTGAAATAGAGGCAAACGAAATGAACGTGATTGTAGGTGCATTCATTGAAGGCGAAATTCGGGGCATTGACGGTTAAGTGTAACGCTCGTGCACTGTGCCCCTTGCTCATGGAGCTTGCATGCTGCTGTTGTTGCTCACAGCCTCTTGAGGTGCATTACAGTTCCACCCACGTCTCTCTCTCGCCTTCACAGGAGTTCCACTCACACACCCGCTGTGCCCTTTGCTCGTGGGGCCTGCAGCTGCCAGCCGGCTTGCGATGTCCTGACAGGTGGGGAGATAGACGGACAGGCGGCAGGCGGGAGGGGAGGCAGGCGGGCGTCTCACTCACCTTCACAGGAGTCCCGGCATGCGTACTCAGGTCGTTGGGGCCTGCAGCTGGCACCCGGCTTGTGATGTCCTGACAGGCGGGGAGATAGGAGACAGGCGGGCCAGCGAGGAGAGAAGAGGGAGGAGAGAGAAGAGAAGAGATCAGAGGCAGTTTGACAAGAGAGGAGAGAAGCGGGCAGAAGAGAGAGACAAAACAGGCGAGAGAGGAAAGATCACAGTGCAATGTGCTGCGGTGTGGTGTGGTGCATAACTTGTGATTCCACTGCTCTTATACCATGCGTACACGAGTTTGCACATATATGTGATGCAACACCAGCACGCAGCAGACACAACAGTATGCCACATTGCCTACACTTGAAGTCACGGGGCAAGTCGCAAGGCAAGCCACAGGCTATAGGGGAAGTGAGAGCAAGTGAGGGTGAGTGAGGGCGAGTGAGGGTGAGTGCGGGCGTACCAGCTTGATAAGAGGGAAGATGCCAAACGCGCTCACCACCACACACCCCACCACATCCACACTCACTAACACACACAGCACACTCCTCCCCTCCTCCCCTCCCTCTCCCTCTCCTCCTCCCCCTCCCACTCCACCACCTTCCTCTCCCCCTCCCCCTCCCCCTCCCCCTCTCCCCTTGCCAGCTGGCATGTGCATCCACCAGCGCTCATCTTCGGGCACGCGGGCTCCGTCCACGTCAGCAGCTGAGTCAGCAACCGCGGCTCCAGTGAGGGAGGCGGAGGAGGGGATGGAAGAGGCAGGCGGGGTACGGGGAAGGTAGGTATGAGTGAGGTCGTGGTATGGGCCGTGGGGGAAGGGCGGGGAGGGGGCGAAGGGAGGGAGCTTGGCGGTAGAGGAGGAGGAGGAGAGGGGGGAGAGGGAGGGGAGGTTGGTGAGGAGGGAGGACAGGGAGAGAGGAGGGGAAGTGCTGATGGCAGTGGCGGTGGCAGCAGGACTAGCATTGGGAGGAGCAGTGGCGGAGGAGGGGGAGAGGTGCAGGGAGGACCAAGAGAGGGCAGAGAGAGGGGCGGAGTGGAAGGAGGAGACCTGGTGAATGATGTCTCCGCCCTGTATGGGGAAGGGGGAAGAGGGGCAGGGGGAAGGGGGAAGGGAGAAGGGGAGAGCATGGTTGGGGAGAGGGAGGACGAAGGGACGGGTGGGAGTGGAAGGAGGAGACCTGGTGAATGATGTCTCCGCCCTGCAGGGGGGAAAGGGGAAGAGCGAGAAGGGGGAGGTGGGTTGAGAAGAAGGAGAGATGGAGGAAGGAAGGAAGAAGGCCAGATACAGAGTGGAAGGAGGAGACCTGATGGATGATGTCTCTACCCTGCAGGGAAGACCAAGAACTGGTTAAAAAATAAGTTGCTCCACCCCTGTATTTTACTTTTTCGCCTAGTTTGTAGGGCGCTTATGTAAACAGCATGAGTCCACAACACACCATCTTCGTTCAGAAGCCGACCATTTCAAGCTTTACTTGCACCCTCACTGCACTCTAAGTGCTCATCACCCATTGAACTCCGCGGCTTCAAAAGATGAAAGACAACACACACACACACACACACACACACACGCACGCACGCACGCACGCACGCACGCACGCACGCACACACACACACACACACACCCACCCACACACACGCGCGCGCACGAGGCCTGACCTCCACACACACACACACACACACACACACACACACACGCACGCGCACGAGGCCTGACCTCCACGTGGCGGTACACAATGCTGCCATCTGTATGCCCTGTCAGAATGGCCCGCCCATCTGGCCGCCACGTCAGCGCAGTCACAGGCACCTCTGGCAGGAAGGAGGAGGGGAACAGGGAAGAAACGGGAAAGGGGATAGTCGAGGGAATGAACAAGGGCAATGCAACGAGACTGGAAAGAAGCATCATACCGAAATATAATGTCATACATCCACCGAGCTCACCCACGAAATTCATCAGTTTCAGCCCCCCCCCTCCTCTCCTCCTCCCCCCACCCCCAAGATCTACACTTCCACTCCAGTTCACCCAGCCATTTACTCATGAGGCTCCTCGGATACAGAAACCCATCACCTCCACTCCAAGTTACCCAGCTCACGTACCAGCAATGGCGGCCCAGAGGCGCTGCCAGTTGAGGCGGAAGACGAGGAGATGCTGATCGCGACACACGAGGGCCAACAGATCCTTGTCGCCACTCCACTCCGCCAGACATGCCTGACACGGAAGGGACGGAAAGAACGGATCGCGAAGGACAGACGCAGAATTAAGGAGACGGATGAAAAATGATTTTCCAGACACCTAGAGCCTGTGACATACAAGGGGGCCATCAGGTTCTTTTCCGCCGCTCCTTTCCTGAGATGGAACAAAAGGGCAGAAGCAGACGGATGAAGCGTTGACGCTTATGAACCAATTGTTTCTGGCTAACTTTGCAATGGCACGAGATTCAAGTGCAAGATGAGTCACGGGTTCAAGCGACTGACCTGCGAGGCAAGCGACTTCTCCTGAACGACAGTGAAGCTGGCAGGCATGGCAGCAGGCGTTAGAAGGAGAGTTCGTCGTCAGCTGCAGGCGGTTAATGCTGGTTCGTGTAATTGCACACCGCGGTGCGCACTGCAGCCTGCATTCTCCCTAGCCTACGTTGCACGTACAGCGAATCTACTGGAATTCATCACCCAACGAGTTGACGCGGAGCGGAGATGTCAGATGTATTTTAGTAGTTTTACACTGGGCTTGACGGGCTCATGTAAATGGATTCCGTGTCTTATGTCCCTGCGAACTGGCCGACAACACCACACTTCGAGGTTCTCTACGATGTAAAGTGGTCGAATCAACAATCATGCTTTGGAATGTCTATTTGATGTGAAATTCGCGTCATTATCAGGTATAAGAATATAACTGACAGGTTATTATCAGTAGAATATAGGCGGTTATGTGATTCATCTGGTAAACTAGTATGACATTACGAAGTTCTTTGTTCTCCAGGCATGCTGGGTAAATAAGTGAATCAGTATAGTGTATCAGGTTGATTGTGATGTATTTTGCGCATTGTACTGTTGTGGCGCAACAATATCGATTCGCATATCTTTTCGCGCGCCCTGGATGACACCACCACGCCACCAAACTGACTTCTGACCCTTGCTGCCACGTCGAAAACCTTTGAAAATATGCTTGGCGCGAAAAGTACGAATATATCCAATACACCATGCCATGCTTTGATCCAACGAACAAAACTCGTCAGCTGACGTCCTTCCCTCGTGCGGCACGGATCTACCTCGATTGTTCCGCGCCCAACCATGTCTGGCGGAAGGCGGAAGAATCCTCCTCTCGTGCGCTGTTCTGGCGTGGTGCGTGTGTGATGATGGTTCTAGCGCAACTGTCAGCGAGCTAGCAATTGGGGAAGCATTTTCTCTTGCCTGACAATCACGAGGGTTTGGTTTTGGTTTGGCCTGGCAGGACAACCAAACGACCAAACAAGGCAACCATATTTAGGGCGGTACGTGTAATGCGGTTTGGTGCTTTAGAGAGGGGTTGAAGACGATTCTAAGTTTCCACCGAAGCTAAACGTCTTTTATCGCTTTTCGACGTACTTGACCGCATTAAACGTACCAGGTTCATTCAAACCTGACACGCCCTTATTCCACCAGCAGTCCATAACACTCGGTGTTTGTCTTTCATTGGGCGTTCGCTTGTGGTCGCTTCGTCCGTTCCTCGCTCCCTATCTTCCCTAACCTCTCCCCTTTCCGCGTTTTCATCCTGGGCCTTAGATCTGTCTTTTTTTCCCGCCGTTCCCGCTTTCCGCATGGGAATATTCGTGTGATCATTTCTTCGTGAGGCAGCTAATTGCATGTAGCATGTGGTAAGACAGGATCAGCCTATTACATTACTGACTCGGTCATTCCTTAGTCTTAGCAATAATGGCGGTAAGCTTCTCGTCGTTTACCTCTCAAATTAGTAGAGTTAGGCCTAATTCAGAGGCTCAGTTAGCCTCCGCTGTCATTCTTGGATCACGGAATGGTGCCGAGTATTCCGGGGCTTCGCGGTTATCCGCGGTTAGTCTAGGTTCAAATGAAAGATCGAGCCTCGCTGTTTCAGCATCATTTGGGGCCGCGTATCGATCACCATTGCGTGCCGATGACGGCCACGATACTTTTACCGGCTTGCCGGTTCACAGCGGCGTCGTCCACAGAACGGGACGGTCGCGACGCTTCGGAGAGAAGCTCAAACAGCGACGGCGAATGGTTTGTCGCGCTGAGAGCTCAAACGGCAGTAGTAGCAACAACGGTAGGTTAGGCAGCTTAGTAATCCCCGCAGCTCCACCCTTCGGCTCCATGGGTGGGGAGTCAGATCGGGACGCTAAACTTGCGCAACTCAATAGGGTGAATTCTGGAAACGATTCCGTGGCACGACGAGTGACAGAAGTGGAAGATACGGCGAGTGTTGGCGCCGTGTCGGGATTGCTTCAGCAGCAGCAGTCTCCGCCAGTCCTCGAGGTGGTCCGGCAGCTAGAAGCGAAGATGAACGAACCGTCCGCAGTGCTAGAGAGTATGAAGGTGGGTTTTTCTGAGACATCCCAACCGTTTATTGTTTTCCCCTTCTCTTTTTTATCCCTAGGTTCCTTTCCTCGTGCATTCGCCTCCCTCCGCTTTCTTTTTTCCATATTCTCTTCTCGTTTCTCTCACGTGTTCTTCCCTCTTCCCCTCCCAATTTATCTTGACATTTTGCGCAAACTGAACAATGCTCCACAGAGCCGTTGTTCATCAGTACAATACGGCTTGTTGAGGCTCAAAGTCTTTCATTTTCTTTTCGTGCTCATGCAGGATATGCTGACGGTTGAAGATCTCGAGACTCTAATTGCTTACCTTGCGCAACGTGGTCGCGACATGTGGCAAGCCCTCGAGGTTTACGACTGGATGGTTCGCGAGAACCGCGCTCAGCGCAGCACGCGCCGGCTCACCCTCGTCATCATGGACCAACGGCTCGGGCAGCTTTTACAAGAAGCCTGCCCGACGGAAAACATTTTGCGCCTGGTGGTGCGCATGCTGGAGCTGGAGCTCCTGCCGGACCTTCCGCTCAAGCGGATGCTGGCGGAGCATCTGTGGGATCGCGGGGACTTGCCGGCGGTGGTGCGGCTGCTCCGGATTCTGCAGGAGTCGGAATGTTTTCACGGCGACGGCGCGGGTGTCAGTTCGGGAGGTGGAGGCGGGGTTGCGGATCTGGCGGTGAGGTTGAGAAGCCAAATGGACGGGTCGATTAAAGACGTTAAGGACGGACGGATTGAAAGCGTTGCGGGGCAGCCTAAGCTGCCGCCGCGGACGCTGCAGGGGGATACAACCCGGTCTGACCTATCAAGTGTGGCCACGTCGCCATCAACTGTGGGAGGAGTCGTTCCTTCGTCGCCCATCTCCGCAACGGCTACCAGCTCGGCAGCCGAAACGGACAGGCTGGCGGGAGGCTCGGCGGGAGGCTCGGCAGAATCGTCTTCCGGGTCGTGGTTGCTGGCGGAAGGTCCAGAGGAGCGGAGGGACCGCCTCATCCGAGAGTTGCGCGAGCGGGTGGCGGTTGAGCTGGCTGTCGCAAAGGGGGAGGGGGGAGCGGGGGGATCTGTTTCCGGGGAGCGTGCGGAGACCCAAGCGGGAGGGTCGGAGTCAGTTTCCGCGGGCGCCGATACCGCGGATGCGGTTGCGGAGACTGGGGAGGACCTGGGGGGATACTTGGCCGAACGAGCGCTCGCGCGCGCGCAGTTCCGCGAGGTGCTGGCGCTTCCGCGGCTGTTGCGCGAGGGCGGAGTGGAGGTGTCGGTGGTGGCGTACGAGGCGGCGCTGATTGCGGCGGTGAGGGAGCAGGAGCTGTGGACGATCAACGTGGGGGATCTGCAGGTGATGCAGTATGAGAGCGCCGTGGGAGCGCTGTCGCCTCTCGACTGCATGCTCATGGAGGTGCGTGGCCGCTGGGATGCAGAGGGATGGGTGGGGAGGGATAAAGAGGGGTTGGGGGGTATAAGGGGGGACAGGGGTTGTTGCGGGGGTGGTGTGGGGGTCAAGTGAGGGGTATAGGTAACGGAGCCGATGTACTGCATGCTCATGTAGGTGCGCGAGTGGCGCCTGGCGTGAAAGGGAATGGGTGGGATAGTAGGTCTTGGGGGCGTGGCGTAGTTGGAGTGGCATTGCTAGAGGGTGTTTGGCTGGTTGCAGTCTGCTTCGCTTCCCCACTACTCCCCGTTCCCCCCCTCCCTTTCCACCCCCTCCCCTCACGCCCGCGCCACCTCCCCGTACGAGGAGCACTGCGCGAGGGACTTCCGCATTTTGACGACCCCCCTGTTCCCCCTGCTCCCACCACTTCCCCTTCGCCGCCCTTCATCAGCTCGCCCAGGCGATCCTGCAGCACGAGGCGAATCAATTGGTGGCGTGGTTCGACGAGCACTGCGCCAGGGAGTTCCGCCGTTTGACGTATTTCCCTTCCCCACCCCCTCCCCCCCTCATTACCTCCCCTGCATTTCCGTCCTCACAGCTCGCCCAGGCGAGTCTGCAGCACGAGGCGCAGCAGCGTGGTTTGACGAGCACTACGCGAGGGAGTCCTCGTTGTTTGACGTATGAACCCCCACTCCCCTACATCCCCCGTTCCCTCCACTCCCCTCATTCCGCCTTTCCTCTCCTCACAGCTCGCTCAAGCGACTCTGCAGCACGAGGCGCAGCAGCTGGTGGCGTGGTTCGACGAGCACTGCGCGAGGGAGCTGGCGCGCGTGCAGGCGTCGGTGCGCGACGTGCAGCAGGACGTGATTCAGAAGTGGGCGTGGTTACCACACGAGCAGCGCGCGAAGCTGGTGCAGGCAGCCACGGAGAGGGAGGAGCAGGTGGCGAGGCTTCTCAGCGAAGCGCAGGCGTCCGTGCAGCAGAAGATGGTCGCTTTCTGGTTCGCTGCACAGGATGCGGACCGAGCAGAGGCCGCCATGTGGCACGCTGCTGAGCTGGCAGCCGAGGCCGGTGGTGACATGGCAGTGGATGCTGACGTGGCTGCCAGCATTGCGGGGTTGCATGGTTTTCAGGGAAACCACACGGCTCTCAGAAGGTGCGTTGAGGGGATTTACAAAAGGCAGGGGAGAAGGGGAGGGGAGTGGGGGCAATGGAGGGGTGAGGGCAGGGACAAGGGGAGGGGACAAATTGGGATGCGGGATTGAGTATCGTGGGCTATTGTGATGGTGCTTTTCCGTTGCGTTGTGGTATTCTGACCATGCATGCTACAATGTCAGGCCATGCGTTTTATGCTTACTCATTCCTGTCACTCATTCGTCACCACCAATCTGGTCTCCATCCCCTGGTGTGCTGTGTGGTGTTATGCGGTTTTGTGCGGTTCGACAGGCTGCGGCATCGCATGCAGCAGGCGGGGAGTCCGTTGGACGAGAATGCATACACGCTGATGGTGGCAGGAGCCATCAACGGCGGCCATCTCGATGTCGCTGCTGCCTCCATGCAGGAGGTGCGTATGGGACGTGCTGTGCGGGGTCTTGTGATGCGAGCCTTTACAGTGTGTGCATCCTTATCCATTGTCCATGTCCCCACCACGCATCTTCGGTGCATACACGCACCATGCATTCATCCCCGTCCTGCATTAATCCCCATGCATCCCTATGCATCCCCATGCATCCCCATGCATCCCCATGTTCCCACCAGATGGTGGAGCGAGGCATGGAGCCCAGCGGCCCCCAGCTGTCCACGCTGCTGCGCCTGCTGCAGCGGCGGGATGGCCTGGGCGCACACAGCAATAATCAGAGTAACAGTGGTGGTGGCAGCGGTGGCAGTGGTGAGGCTGACATTGAGGATGCAGAGGGCCATGGGGCATCAGTGGAGTCGTACCTGTGTCTCTGTGCAACCCTGGCTGCAGCAGGCATAGTGGAGCCGTGTCTTGTGTACCTCTACATTGATGCCCTCCGCCTCTGCATCATCCGCATGCTCTGATCTGATCTGATCTGATCTGATCTGATCTGATCTGATCTGATCTGATCTGATCTGATCTGATCTGATCTGATCTGATCTGATCTGATCTGATCTGATCTGATCTGATCTGATCTGATCTGATCTGATCTGATCTGATCTGATCTGATCTGATCTGATGTGATCCACATAACAGCTTCCAGTTCTCTCAATCTGAGGTGGTGTTACTGGTGTTCGTTTGTTCCTTGCCTTTTTGTCCTGGTTGGTTGGTTTCTTTCTTTTCTGTGGAGCATGCAGAGGAGCCCTGTTCACCCTTGGTGAATGAGTTGCACTCTGTAATGCTCCCTTCAATATACGACCATTTGCTTTTTTAGGCAGTTTATTCTACCTCCTGTAGTTCTTTGAAAGGCAAATTATGGTTCTAGATTGTCTTTTTGTCCTGAGGATGCTGCACTGGAAAATGGAGTTTTTCTGCGAAGTATATACATAGCCTTATACCGTATGAGCACATGACCAGGACGAGAAAAAGCTGACTACACAAACGACTTTCCCAGGGCCATAGCTCACGAGCAAGAACTATGGAGCAAGTGGGAATGGCGGAAGAGAAGAGACTGCAAAACAATACGTGGAAGGACACGCGCGTCGCCTTCCACTGCACAATCCCACTAAAAACTAAGTATATACGGTATTAGTAAGTATATTAGGTTCAGGAGTCAGGAGTGAAGCACTTCCTGACGAAATAAAGAGCAGTGTTGTCCCGCGTTGTCGGCGCGAGCGTTGGACGCGGACCTGACGCGTCGGGGGAATCTGGGGCTGGACCGCGCGGAGCTGGTGCGGCGCGGACTGGACAGCGCAGGGTATGATGCCGCCAGCGGGTGCGAGCTGTTGCGCGGATAGCAGCAGGGGGAGTGAGAGCTACTCGAGGTGGTTCGCGCGGCAGGCTCGGCGTAGAAGTTTAAATCGTTCGCCCAGGAATGGCTGGTCGCGAGATCTCGAGGCGCCGCGACGTCAAACGACGCATGTCGGCAGAGAGAGCGGCGAGGCCGGCTTTCCTGGCAGCAGCAGCCGCCGTGTTTCCTGCTCGCGGTGTGTGGAACATCATCTGGAAACATAGGTGCTTGTTTCTCCCGATGTTGCTGATAGTGAGCAGCATGCGCCGACACTCGCGGCTCCAGTAACGAATCAGCAGAAGTTGTTCGAGCATCGGAATGGAATGCTACCGTGGCGACGTCTGATTCGTCATCCGACTCAAGTGTCCGTTGCGTGGCGGATCGCAACCGTTCGATGAAGCTCTGGCATTTAACCGCGCTGAGCTGACGTTGAAGGTCTAGAAGATGGAGCTTTCCTTCCAGCGACGCCATTTCCACATCTTCGACTCTTATGGTAGGGCTTCCTGTAGTGCATTCTGTGCAACCGCGATTCACGGAAAGACGAGCCTCCAGAGGGTTGTCGTAGGCGGAAAAAACTGTGCGCGACGCGGCGATAACATGTGCTTCGGGGGGTGAGAACCGTGGAGCCATTGCAGCAAAAAGAAGCGAGAGAGAACGAAAGAAGCTGAGATTGGTGGGATGCAGCTACGAAAGCTAGTGAGGTCGCGAATGAAATTGGTTATTTGTATTGGTTTACGCCGGGCGTAGTACGTACTTCGACGCCAGAGTAGCTTGCGGGATTTGCGAATTACGGTAGACTAGATATTTCTGATACTTGCAGGTTCGGAAAGACCTCTCGTCTTTATGCACTCTGTCACTCTGCGCAGGTTCAGTTCAGTCGCTCGGTGTGGCTTCGCACAGGTCCTTGACGTTCCGTTTCGTTCGCCTCGCTACAAGAAAGATGCTTCTTACTGCTCAACAACCGAAAGCATTCAGTTGTGCTGATTCAGCACATCATTTTGGCTAATCCGACATGGTTTTCTTCAACCAAGTCGCTTTGGCCTTCCGACAGCGGAGCAGAACGAAGTGTGAGAGGTTATGGATTCGCCAAGTTGGTGTGCTGGCCCACGTGCTGTGCCGCGGTGGACGGGGAAGAATCGCAAGACGAGGAAGAAGCATCAGGCTGGGAGGGTGGTTGCGGGAGGGATTTTAATTAGTTAGGGCGACGGCAGGTTTGCGTATCTCTCAAGCGGCTCAGAACGGTTCCACACGTTGAAGAGCGGTTCCCAAAGTGTACCGTTTTGCACCGTGACGAAAAGAAGTTGACCGCAGTAACCGCACAGAATCCGTGCAAACCTGCCGCCGCCCCTAGGACGGAAGGAGGCGGGGGAAAGGAAACTGAGCGCGCGACAACTCACGGGCGGAGCGGAAGCACTGGCGGGGAGCACGAGGGCAGAAACATGCATGTAGGCGATGAAGCGGGACGGAAGCAGGCGGGCAGCCGATGGTTCGATGAAGCGGGACGGACGGTACCACGTCGAGGGTGGATGGAGCAAACTGGAACGAAGCACCGAAGGAGGCTACTGGAGCGGTGATCGGTGAAGTGCGGTTCCAAACCTTCTCCCTCCCACACCTTCCTCCCCTCTCCCCTCACCCCTCCTCTCTGCCTCCCCCTGTGGCCCGCCCTCTCCCCCTTGCTCCCTGCCTCGCTGGCTGCGCAAGGCCTTGTTCGATAGCTTCGCAGTCCAGGGAAACCACAGCCCTTTCACTGTGTTGCGTGGCTCGGTAAAGGCTCGGCAGCTGTGAACGTGGGCTTTAAACCCTACGAGAGGTTAGGCAGATCCAAACCACAACCAAAAGTACGTTCGGTACACCTACGAATCTGGTGTGGTAATTTTCGCTGCGGACCGCGGTCCAAACACTGTTGCCCACTGGTCAAGCAACAGTACTTACCGGGCAAAAAATACTTGGTTTCCGCTGGCAGCAAGAACGACAGTCACTGTGAAGTTGTAAACATTTCGGGCAAAAATGGTCTAATAGAATTTATACCTGGAAACTTAGGGTGTACAGTTTCACCCAAAAGCAGTTCATTATTAAATTTTTTGGTCGCGTTTGTGGTCGAGGGTACACTGGGATTTGAAATGCTCATCTATTAATTACCGAACAGTAAGTTCAACACGTGTTATTTTGGAATTTTGTGTCACGTTCTTTCGTATCTGATTTTGCTAAATCGATTGAAATGCGCACTGTGTACGCTTGTTTTATCGGTTGACTACGCGGTTCTGACTGTTGCGACTTGGGCTGTTCGGGCAGATGTCAAAACTTTAAACCTAGTCAAGTTGCATCTGGAAGGTAGTGACTCCAGTGCAATCGAACAAGGCCCAAATCCAATTGGGGGCTGGTTGGAGTGAATGCTGCGCTGCCAGCGCCAAAGTACAGTAGTCAAGGACATGGTCGGGCATAAAATTTTTAGTTCGGACAGCTGGCGCAAAGGTTCTATTCGGACAAGTGGCGCAAAAAGTTCTATTCGGACAGCTGGCACAACGCCAACTCGGCGCGGTAGCTCGTGCTTGCACACACCAGAGCCGTGGTGGTAAGCCGTGGTGCAAATCGGTGTTCAGCATTTGTGAGTGGTTGTGATCCGCACTGAGGGGAGGAGTCTTGGAGCCTGCCTGAACCATGTTCTCGTGTACAGTTCCAGTACATTAGTGTACTGTAACGGTTAGTGTTCATTAGTGTTTGTGCGTGTCCGCGAAAGGCGGAGTGTCAAGCGGTAACCGTCACGGTGATGCGGTGCGGGGAGGGCTGCTGTCACTGGTGGAAAGTCAAGCGGAAGTTAGAATATGCTTGCAGTTCAGTGGTTCATATTCAAACGAAAAGCTTGTTGTGCACAGTGAATGCATTCCACAGCAAATTGATACTGCACCCTGTCTCTCTCCATAGTGGAGTCTGTTTTAAAAAAACATCCAACGTTTGCGGTCTGTTCACTATGATTTGATTATCCAACCAGGTCAGCCTGCCAGTTACCGGTATGTGCGGTTTCTCATTGTGGCTAAGACGGTGTTACATGACACACTGCAAAGTTACAGTGGTAGTTTAATGCCAATAGATGAGGCAGTTCACCGTTCAAAATGGTAATCTCGGGAGTAGGTAGGACTGGGTAGGATAAAGTCAACTAAAATCACCTGTCTATGAACATCACCTACTGGCACGAGAGTAGTGCTGAATCAACAACGGAACGGTGAACAAGGCTCCAATGCCGGCCACCACAGAGCCATACCTACCTATTGCTAGGCGCATCCACGCATTCACATGCTGCCGCTCCTGATAAAACAACTGTGAACATCACCTACTGGCACGAGAGTAGTGCTGAATCAGCAACGGAACGGTAAACAAGGCTCCAATGCCGGCCACCACAGAGCCATACCTACCTATTGCTAGGCACATCCAGGCGTTCACGTGCTGCCTCTCCTGATAAAACAAATGTCACGGAATGAGAGGAAGTTGGCAAGTTGACACGAAAAAGGATCGCCTTGTATGGAGAATGGGACTTGGCAATACAGTGAACGAATCAACAACGAGAGAGAATGAAATGGTTCTGTACAAGAAGAGTGAAAGCACCACATACTGAGATGCCTGATGCACGGTGCACGGCATGTGGTGCATAGTGCTTCGTACATGGTACATGATGGATGCGACATAATACACATGGCACATGCCACTTGCCATACATGGCACATGGAACATACATGACACATTTTGAGTCGACTGAAAATCCACGCTTGTCACATGCCGTTTGAAATACATGGACGATGGAGCATACATAACGCATAAAATTTCACCTGATTCTTTGCTCGGAAGGCTGAGAGGGTCTCTGGAAGCAGAGTGATTGTGCTGCGATGGGCCTCAAACGGCAACCTGCGGGGAAAAGGTGAGAGGTAGGGGAAAATACGAAGCTATATTTTCATTGCTTCTGTACACATGTGCCTGTGTCCCCCACCGCATTAAGGCGAAGGATTGCTTGGGAGCAGAATCTAGTGCATTCAGAACCAGAATTCAATGCATTAAAAAAAAAAAAAAAAAAAAAAAAAAACCAATCCACGCTCTCGCACATGTCGCCAACAGACATGGGCGGCATGATGAAGGTGATGAGAGGAACGAGCAAGTGGGTGTATGACCAAGGCATGAAAAGGCACTCATTGAACCATCGGCATTGGCATCAAAGTATATACCCACCTACATTTGGGTAATTTATCCGAATGAGACTTGAAAAGGACATTTCAGTTTATACCCACATGACAATAAAAGGGGCAATTGGGTTCGACCCACCTGAGGCCTGATAACTGCTGGATAACAGCCTCTCTCACAAAAGAGCGCCCTCTGTTTGTAGTGACAGTCACACACATGCAAAACGGCAGATACAGTCACAAGGGCACAGTCACAAGGGCACAGTCACAAAGGCACAGTCACAAGGGCACAGTCACAAGGGCACAGTCACAAGGGCACAGTCAGAAGGGCACAGTCAGAAGGGCACAGTCACAAGGGCACAGTCAGAAGGGCACAGTCACAAGGGCACAGTCACAAGGGCACAGTCACAAGGGCACAGTCACAAGGGCACAGTCACAAGGGCACAGTCACAAGGGCACAGTCACAAGGGCACAGTCACAAGGGCACAGTCACAAGGGCATATGAAAGAGTCATCCTTTTTGCAAGTGACTGGAAGTGATCGGGAGCAAACACAATGCAAAGTTAGGAATGGGGCAGACAGCCCTGGCACAAGATGGAGGACGGAAGCAAGCAGGATTCGGGACGGACGGAACAGACATGCAAGGTGTTTGTGAGAATTCGTACAACACCTTGCAACTCGGTGAGAACGGACCTGCCAGCCCCTGTGATAATGACCAGCCCCTTGCCATGCAGTGCAGGAGGAGACAGTGCGTTGCTGCCCCCCTGCAGTTCTAATGAGGTTGGGCGGCAACGCAACACAGTGTGTGTGTGTGTGTGTGTGTGTGTGTGTGTGTGTGTGTGTGTGTGTGTGTGTGTGTGTGTGTGTGTGTGTGTGTGTGTGTGTGTGTGTGTGTGTGTGCACGAGATAAGGATAGCCAAGAAGCAAAACTTGCGAACAAGGAACGGACCTGCCAGCTCCTGTGATAATGACCAGCCCCTTGCCATGCACTGTTGGAGTGTCACCACCACCCCGAGCCACTGCTGCTGCTGATGCTGCCGCCACTGCAGCTGGCAGGGTGGATCGATGCACAACTGGCTGCTTCTGAGGTGCACCTGGGGCAGGCTGCTTCTGAGGTGCACCTGGGGCAGGCTGCTTCTGAGGTGGTTCCATTACTGTGAAACGAGCTAGAGAGGAGAGGCGTATCCCTACACTCTCTCCACCTGGTGCAGACACCGAGGGAGACCAACGAGTGAGTGAAGGAGAAGGCGAATGAGGGTGTGAGTGCAGGTGCGAGTGGGGGAGTGAGGGAGGGAGTGAGGGAGGGAGTGAGGGAGGGAGTGAGGGAGGGAGTGAGGGAGGGAGTGAGGGAGGGAGTGAGGGAGGGAGGAGGGCATCCATGAGGCGGAGTCTACTCTGCATGGCGGACAAGCCGTGCAGATCTAGTGTAATCACCCCCATGCCCTCGCCCCCCTCCCATGCCCTCTCCCCCAAACCCTCGCTCCTCTCCCGTGCCCTCTCCCCCATGCTCGTGCCCTCCCACACTCTCCGTCTCACTCCCATCTCGCCCCTCCCCCCTCCACCATCACCACCTCCTCCTCCTGTCCTCCCCAACTCACCCCCCATCTCGCCTCCCTCATATCTTGACACCTCACCCCCACAACCCCCCTTCCCCTTAGTCCCCAAAGGTGCCTGTGCTGGTGCTGTGGCTGCTGGCTCCCCAAACCACTGCTCCAGCCACGGGCCGAGCCTAGAAAACAGGCTGGGTTCTGTAGCAGCAGAGCTGGCCGGGGGAAGACAGGAAGAGCTTATAGGCGCAGTAGGAGGTGAGAGAGGGAGTAAGGGTGAGCAAGGAGGGATGGTTGAAGAGAAGAGGGGCGGGCGAGAATCCTTATTTTTCGGTCGACTCAGAACGGGTGAGGGTGGAAGAGAGTGGGAGAGGGGTGTTGAGCCCGGGAGGGTAATAGAGGGAAGGGACGGGTGAGGGTCTGGGTCTTGTATCTGGCTGTTGGCTGACTCGCTTGTCATGAGAGGTGACTGTACAGAAAGATTTGCATGTGTGGAATGTGACTGTACTGAGGTGGAAGGTGACTGTACAGGGGTGGAAGTGCCAGCAGCAAGGTGTTTTATCGGAAGAGATTCGTCAGCAGCAGCAGAAGCTGGGTGTTGAGCAGATGCTGATGCAGTTGGAGCGGTGGAGGAGGAAGAGGAGGTGGGAGGAGAGGACTGATGCTGCCGTTGATGCCGCTGCTGCTGATGGTAGTGATGCCGCTGGTGCTGCTGCTGATGGTGCTGCTGCTGCTGCTGCTGCTGCTGCTGCTGCTGCTGCTGCTGCTGCTGCTGCTGATGATGATGATAATTCTGCTGCACGGGAGATTGCTGCATGAGGCTAAGACGCTGACCTGTCGGTGTCTGATTGGCTGGCTGACGTGGAGGGAGGGAAGTGGGCGCCAGGGATGAGAGCGGGTCGAGAGGCAGGGAAGGGGCCAGGCGGAAAGCAGCTGTGAGGGAGGAAATGGAGGCCTGTGGAGGGGAAAGAAGGGAGATGGAATATGGGGCGTGGGGGGAGAGGGCGGGGGGGGGAGGGTGGGAGGGGGGGGGGTTGCAACAGGGACACGACAGAAATGAGAGGGGGCAAGCGGAAAGCAGCAGTGAGGGAGGAATATCTGGAGGGAAGGGAGAGAAGATGATAATTACCTTTTGCATGCAAAAAAGTACCACTCATGACATGCCAACCCACCTCCCACCCATGGCAATCCTTCCTTACCTCTGTGGGAGTGATGCCAGCACCAATCATCTGGTGCCACGTGTCCACTGCAGCATCAGCGTCCGCAGACCGGGCACATGCATCCAGCAACGTGTTGAACGTGACTATATCAGGCGTAACAGTATCAGAAGTGACATTCTCGGGAGTGACATCACCAGAAGTGACAGTACAAAGAGTTACAGATGTGCGCTCTTTGGCATCAGAGCTGCTCCTGCTCTTTGACGGACGGGCGGCGGTTTCCTGTCCAGATGTGCGCCGAACAGCATTACTGGACGTGGGCGGAAACTCTTGTCTGGACATGGAGGCGATGAGCTGGCGCATGCGATGGATGGTTTCAGAAGGGCTGAGGCGAGGCGGCATGGATGGGCATGGGGGCGCAACTTGCTCGTCTGTATGATCCTTGTCCCTCCCAGCATTGCCGTACTCATCACCATGGCCAGTCACAGGTGTGATGCTCTTGGCATAGGCGTTGAGAACAATGTTGTAGCTCCGCTGCACGTGGGTGGCATGGAGCAAGCACACGTGGGTGGCATGGAGCAAGCACACGTGGGTGGCATGGAGCAAGCACACGTGGGTGGCATGGAGCAAGCACACAGGGGGACGAGCACATGGGTGGAGTGGGGAAAAAACCTTTGGAAGGAAAAAGGCACTTGGCTTTCACGAAATGCCGGCACCAAGTTGATACGATGGCTGGCGCTGGTGGTATTATGATGACACTGCTGGCTTTCGCTGCTTCAATGTGACAGAGCAGTGCAGAGAAACGAAATTAGGGCAGCAGCACAGCACGGGCCGATCATGCATGCTCAGCAGCAGACATGGCAGCAGAAGCAATTGCCAGCAGGACTCACGAGGTTGGGCCGGCAGCGGGCGTGCAGCATGCGTGACAGCACCGCTTCAGACCGCACTGCATCCCCGCTTCGGCTCCACGCATCCGCCAGCGCATTCCACACCACCACGTCATTGAACCCGCCGCTGACAGCATCAACAGCAACCCCTGCATCAGACAACACCGTCCCCAGCTCCACCTGTCCCCCAACCCCACGCACCCCCAGTGCCTCCCCCCCAACCCTCGCCTCCCCCAGCACCGCCTCCCCCCCCACCGTTCTTTCCCCCACCAGACTCGCCCATGCTGTATTCCTCCCCGCCATTATCCCCCCCAGCGCCACCCCTGCCATCACCCTTTCCGCTTCGTCCGCCCTGCCCGCCCGCCCGCACACCGCAATCATTGCAGAGGCGGCGTATTTGTCAGCTTGCAGGCCGCGGGCGCGCATCTCCTGCCACAGCTCCCGCGCGCGCGCCAGCTGTCGCAACGCTACTCGCTGCCTCCCTTCCGCTTCCCCTTCCCCTTCCCCAACCCCCGCTTCTCTCTCGCGTTCCCCCCTTGCGCTTCCGCCCGGACGCTTCCGCCCAGGTTCCGCCTCCGCCAGGTGAAACCTCCCTCTGCCGAGTCGGCGCCACGTGGCGCCCTTCACCAGGCACAGCTGGATACGCGCCGCGTACATCAACGTGGCAGGCGCGCCGCCCAGCGCGTGGTATTCCGCCATGAGCGCGTCGACCTGCTCCTCCGCGCGCCTGCGCCTGCGCCCGCCCTCCGCGCGCTGCCCCTCGCGCGCCACTTCGCGAATTTGTCGCGAGAGCTCGCGAAGGCGTTCGCGAAGAGGTGGGCGACGCGCCTGCGGTTGCTGCGACTGCTGCTGTCGAGGATGCTGCCTATGCCCGTCATGCACGCTCATGTTAAGATGCTGCTGCCGCATATGCTGCGGTTCATGCTTTGGATGGTGCTGCGGCAAATGCGCCGTCATCTGCGGATGCCGTTGATAGTGCTCCAGCTGCTGCTGCTGCCTCTCCCGCTGCTCGTACTCCCGCCGGTGCCTCGGCGGCTGCTGCTCCTCTTGCGGCGGCCTTCGCGGCTACGGGAATTCAGGCCCGGCGGTTCTAGGTTACCCGCGGAAAGGCGGGAACGACAAGGGATGTGACCCGCGGGGGTGCGTACTGCTGATGTAAATGAGGCCTGCTGTGGGGATATGGTTTTCGATGACAATTACAATTCTTTGAAAATGTGAACTTTGGGAATAAAAATTTCGCTCGCTGTTACTCTGTATCGAGGATAACATTCTCCCAACCTGCGTTCCCCTCCCCCACAACCTCCCCCCCTCGAGGTTTGTTCCTTCCCTCAAGCTCCTCTTCCCTCCCCCTTTCTCTCTCTTGCCCCTCTCTTTTCCGTTTCTCCTCGCGGGAACCTAGAAACCTGGAAATCTTGTTCCTGGTCTCAGGGCTTTAGCAGGCGCGACAGTAGCGCTTTTCTTCCGCGTTTCTTAGTCCTGCATTCGCGCGTTCTAAGAAAAGGACATTTCGAAGATCTCGATATCTCTGCGATTTTCTTTATCAAGGTAGGTTCCGTCGACGAAACATGTGTGTTTGAGCTGACGATCAGTCACCGACGCAACGTAAACACAACGAGCTATGGCGGCTTTGAGGGTTACAACTGCCAGAAGAAGCGTTTACCGTACTAGTATCACGTTATTGGGTGTCAGGTTGCCAACAATTACTTCAATTTAGCGTCAGAGTTTGGATGAGCTGACACGGCTGTCAGGGTTCCAGATCTTTGCGATGCGAGGATTTCATTTTTGTATCTTTTGCTTGCATAGAGTGCGCATCCCTTCTCTTCGTTAGGTCTCGCTATGTCTCGTGCTCTTCGCACATATTCCATCCTCCGGTATCTCTCGTCCATCGCCGGCAGCAGCTTTCGCGACAATTCTGGCATTGCCGTTGCCGTTACTACCTGCATTAACATTTGACATTTGCTCGACTGAATCCTTGCGTTGTTCCCGGCAGGGCATCAACGGTCACAAACCCTGAAAACCGCGATTTGTCGCCGTCACGATGTTGCTTCTGTTCGAGACCCCGGCGGGGTTCGCGCTGTTCAAGGTGCTAGACGACAAGAAGCTCGACAAGGTCGAGGACATCTGGACGCACTTCGAGTCGCCGGAGAGCGCCAGCAAGGCAAGTGGTGCCGAGCGGTAGTGAGTGGTAACCAGGCGGGAAAGTGACTCTTTTTTTTTAGCAGAGAGATTGGTAACGAGGGGTGGAAGTTGGAGGTTGAGAAGGGGAGTAGGGGACGGAGAGTGAGTCTGGATTACCTTTGCTGAGTCGCCAGAAAGTCTTCGTAAGGAAAGGGGGAGCGTTAGCGGTGCTGAAGCTAAATGCGGTCGGCGGCAAGTCTGAAAAACAATAGACGCTTTGGGCGCGATATTTGACCCAATTGACCTAACCCCTCCTCACACACTCCCCTTCCCCCCTCCACCCTCTTCCCCGCTGCTGCTCCTTCTGCAGGTGGTGAAGCTGAAAGCGTTCGACAAGTTCGAGAACACGGCGGACGCGCTGGGCGCGATCTAGACTCTTAACTGACCAACAGCCTCTTCCCCACCCTCCTCCCCCGTTCTCCTCCCCCTTCTCTCTCTGCAGGTGGTGAAGCTGAAGGCGTTCGACAAGTTCGAGAACACGGCGGACGCGCTGGGCGCGGCGACGGCGCTGGTGGAGAGCAAGCTGAGCAAGGGGCTCAAGAAATTCGTCAAGGCGCAGTGCCAGGGGGAGACGCTGGCTGTTGCGGACTCAAAACTTGGCAACATTATCAAGGAGAAACTGGTGCGCGCGCGCATTGGGGTGCTGGTGGGGGAAGGTGGGGAGTTGGGATTGAGAAAGGGAATGTGATTGGGAGGGGAGTTGGGATTGACGAGTAGGAATGTGCTTGAAATGGGGGTTGGGATTGTATGGGAGAGGTGGTACGGCTCTGGTGGAGAGCAAGCTGAGCAAGGGGCTCAAGAAGTTCGTCAAAGCGCAGTGCCAGGGGGAGACTCTGGCTGTTGCGGACTCAAAACTTGGCAACATTATTAAAAAGAAACTGGTGCGCACGCGCATTGGGGTGGTCGTGGGGGAAGGTGGGGAGTTGGCATTGAGAAAAGGGAGTGTGATTGGATGGGGACTTGGGATTGAGAATGGTAGTGTGATTGAGGGGGAGGGTGGCGGGGGGGGTTGGGAGTGAGTAAGGGAGTATGATTGAGAAGGCGCTCGTGTAGCGCCTCACGGAGTGAGACCGAAGGGCGGTCAGGCGGAGACCTCGTGGTTCCCTCCCTCACTCCCTTTGCCTGTGCGCCCATGCAGGGAGTGACATGCGTGCACAGCGCGGCGGTTATGGAGCTCATTCGAGGGTTGCGCTCACACCTCTCGAACCAAGCCACGCCCTCCTGACTCTCCCTCTCCCTCTCTCTCTGCCTATGTGCTCATACAAACAGGGAGTGACATGTGTGCACAGCGCGGCAGTGATGGAGCTCATGCGCGGGGTGCGCTCACACCTGTCGGAGCTCAATGTGCCTTCCCCTCTCTCGGCCTTCCCCTGTCCACATCCACACACCAGGGAGTGACATGTGTGCACAGCGCGGCAGTGATGGAGCTCATGCGCGGGGTGCGCTCACACCTCTCGGAGCTCAGTGTGCCTTCCCCCCTCTCGGCCTTCCCCTGTCCACATCCACACACCAGGGAGTGACATGCGTGCACAGCGCAGCAGTGATGGAGCTCATGCGCGGGGTGCGCTCGCACCTCATAAACCAAACCACGCTCCCCTGACTCTCCCTCTTCCTCTGTCTTTCTCTCTCCCTCGCCCTCTGCCTGTGCGCCCATGCAGGGAGTGACATGCGTGCACAGCGCGGCAGTGATGGAGCTCATGCGCGGGGTGCGCTCACACCTCTCGGAGCTCATCGCAGGGCTGTCATCACTCACCTGAATGTCCTTCTCCCCCTTCCTCTCCCTGTGCGCACATGCAGGGAGTGACATGCGTGCACAGCGCAGCAGTAATGGAGCTCATGCGAGGGGTGCGCTCGCACCTCTCGGAGCTCATCGCAGGGCTGTCGGGCGCCGACCTCGCGCCCATGAGCCTCGGTCTCAGCCACAGCCTGTCGCGCTATAAGCTCAAGTTCTCCCCGGACAAGGTACAGCCTCAGTTCCCCTTTAACAAGGCACAGCCCTGTGGTATTTGAAACGCCTTGGAATGCGCCCATGAGCCTGGGTCTCAGCCACAGCCTGTCGCGCTACAAGCTTAAGTTCTCCCCGGACAAGGTACGTCATGTGGTGTTTGTGACGTCTCACCTCACCTCGCGCCCATGAGCCTGGGTCTCAGCCACAGCCTGTCGCGCTACAAGCTTAAGTTCTCGCCCGATAAGGTACAGCCCGTCAACTTTCTGATGATCGGATGGTTGGTTCATGCATCCGAATGCCCCTTTGGGGAGTTTGATTCTTCACTGTTCCTATCTTCTATTCTCCTCTCCTCTTCCCTCCTCTCCACTCCACTCCTTTCCTCTCCTCTCCTGTCCTCTCTTCTTGTCTCCTCTTCGGGCTCATTCATATCCACCTTCCATCAACCACCCCTCCCACCGTCAACCAATCCCGTGGTGCCAGGTGGACACGATGATAGTGCAGGCCATTGGGCTGTTAGACGATCTGGACAAGGAGCTGAACACGTACGCCATGCGTGTGCGCGAGTGGTACGGCTGGCACTTCCCTGAGCTCGCCAAGATCGTCACGGACAACCTGCAGTACGCGCGCGCCGTCAAGCTCATGGCTCACCGCGTCAACGCTGCTGATCTCGATTTCTCCGGGGTAAGCTTGGTCCCTTCCTCTTCCTCCAGTCCTCCCTCCACTCCTCTTCTCCCTCCTCTCCTCTCTGTACCTACGAGGAGTGTGTTTCCTTTTGCGCTCAAGGCGAGTGGCGTCTGTTGTCTGTGAGATCGTCACCAACAACCTTCTTCCCTTCCTTCCCATCCATCACACCAGATACTGAAGGAGGATGTGGACTTGCCATGAAGCAGCAGTGATCTCCATGGGGATTATCATGGGCTTTGAGCGTCAAACAATGTCTTCTCCCCCCTGCATGCCACTTCCATTTATCCCCCGCCTCATCCTCTCAGATACTGGAGGAGGATGTGGAGTCGGCCATGAAGCAGCAGTGGTCTCCATGGGGCCTGCTGCTTGGAATCTTTCTCACCCTGTTCGTTGCCCTCTTCTCTCCAAACCCCCATGAACCCCACCTCACCCCTCTCCCTCCCCCCCCCTCCCCCCACTCCCATCACGGCAGATACTGGAGGAGGAGGTGGAGTCGGCCATGAAGGAGGCGGCGGTGATCTCCATGGGGCCTGCTGCTCTCATTCTTTGAGTGCTGCTTGGAATCTTGCTCACCATGGAATCTCTAACCCCCATGGCCCCCCACCTCCTCTTTCCCCCACCCCATCACGGCAGATACTGGAGGAGGAGGTGGAGTCGGCCATGAAGGAGGCGGCGGTGATCTCCATGGGTACGGAGGTCAGCGAGCACGACATGACCAACATCATCGCGCTCTGCGACCAGGTGGGTCCGAGGCTCGGTGGATGTGAGTCAACGCAGGTCTGATGCTTTGTCAACGAGAGTCAACGCAGGTCAATGCCGGTTCGAGACCAGTCAGAGCTCCATGGGCACGGAGGTCAGCGAGCACGACATGACCAACATCATTGCGCTCTGCAACCAGGTCAGTCAGTGAGTTCAACGCAGGTCAACGCAGGTCAGTGCAGGTCAGTGACATCATGATTGCGCTGTGACCAGGGCATCACACTCTCAACGCAGGTCAACGCTTCATTAGCTACCATGATTCGTCACCGTGTTGCTGCCACCCTCATATTGATTGCTCCCGTCCATCCCTCTCTCCCCACCCCTTACACAACCCTCATCTCCCCCTTTCCCTGCAGGTCATCGCCCTGTCAGAGTACTGCGCGCAGCTGTTCGACTACCTGCAATCGCTCTTGCTGGTCGTAGCGCCCAACCTCCTCTCTCCACTCCCCACTACCCCCTAATTCCCCTGACCCCTAATCTTTGCAGGTCATCGCCCTCTCAGAGTACCGCGCGCAGCTGTTCGACTACCTCCGTTCCCGCATGCTGGCCATAGCGCCCAACCTCACGGTGCTGGTGGGCGAGCTCGTGGGTGCGCGTCTCATTGCGCACGCAGGCTCGTTGATGAGCCTCGCCAAGCACCCCGCCTCCACTGTTCAGATCCTCGGCGCTGAGAAGGTACGCCTGACACGGTGAGGTAGTTGTGCTGAGAATACAAGTCAGCCGTAGAGGGTGCAGGCAGCATGCTGCTGGCCATAGCGCCCAACCTCACAGTGCTCGTGGGGGCGTGTCTCATCGCACATGCTGGTTCCCTCATGAGCTTCGCCAAGCACCCCTCCTCCACCGTGCAGATTCTCGGCGCTGAGAAGGTAAGCCTGGCATGGTAAGGGTGGTTGTGGTGCTGAGTATACAAGTCAGCCGTAGAGGGTGCAGGCAGCATGCTGCTGGCCATAGCGCCCAACCTCACGGTGCTGGTGGGCGAGCTGGTGGGGGCGCACCTCATCGCGCATGCTGGCTCTCTTATGAGCCTCGCCAAGCACCCCGCGTCAACTGTTGAGATGCTTGGCGCTGAGAAGGTACACTGTGAGTGTGCGGATGATTGCATTGCATGGAAGAACCCGCAGCATGCTGGCCATAGCGCCCAACCTCACGGTGCTGGTGGGCGAGCTCGTGGGGGCGCGCCTCATCGCCCACGCGGGGTCTCTTATGAGCCTCGCCAAGCACCCCGCCTCCACCGTGCAGATTCTCAGCGCTGAGAAGGTGAGCCTGCAGCCACTTTCGTTGCTGCTGGTAGGGGGGGGGCCTGGTGGGAGAGAGCCTGTTTCTCTTATTTCTCATCGCTCACACCAGCCCCTCAAGTAGGACCGCAACAATTGTGTTGTATGTATGGTAGTGGCCGCAAAGTCACACGCACACCCGAGTATTACCTTCCTTCCACGCCACCATATACCCCCTTTATCCCTTCTCCAACTCCTCTGCTCCGCGTCCCTCTCCTGCTTCACCTACCTGACAGGCTCTCTTCCGCGCCCTCGAGACGAAGCACGATACGCCCAAGTATGGCCTCATCTTCCACGCCTCGCTCATACTCCCTTTTCCCCTGCCTTTCCTCGCCCCCCTTGTTCCGAATCCCTCTTCTCCCCTTCCCCTATCAGGCGCTCTTCCGCGCCCTCAAGACGAAGCACGACACGCCCAAGTATGGCCTCATCTTCCACGCGTCCCTCATCGGCCAGGCACCCCCCAAGCTCAAGGGCAAAATCTCCCGCGTGCTGGCCGCCAAGTGCTCGCTTGCCATCCGCGTGGACGCTCTGGGTGATGCCACGGAGCCCACTGTTGGCATTGAAGGCCGTGCTAAGGTGGGTGGAAGTGCGGTGGGGGAAGCTGGTTGGTTGGCACAGAAGGAAAGGGAGAGGGAGTAAATGACAGGTAGGCCAGGCGCCCCCCAAGCTCAAGGGCAAGATCTCCCGTGTTCTGGCCGCCAAGTGCTCCCTTGCCATTCGCATGGACGCTTTGGTTGATGCCACGGAGCCCATTGTCGGCATTGAAGGCCGCGCTAAGGTGCGTGTGATGGGGTGTGGATGGCACAGAAGGGAAGGGACGGGAAGGGAAGTAGGTCAAGGACGGGACGTCTTTGCCCATTGTTCCAACATCACCCTGCTTATGCTGTGTCTTCGCATTGCACTGCACTGCACTGCACTGCACTGTGCTGTCTCGTTGGATTTGTTTCGTCGCCTTCCTCTCCTCACTCCTCCTTGTTTCCCCTTTTTTTCCTGCTTGTGGTTGACGAACAGATTGAGCAGCGGCTGCGGCAGCTGGAGGGGCGGGTGCTGGGCAGTGCCAGTGCAGCGAGCAAGGGCAAGGCAAAGCTGGGTCCATACGACAAGGACAGGAAGGAGGGCACGGGCGGCTTGATCACCCCTGCCAAGGTGAATTTGTTACGGGGAGTGTGTTGAAGCAATTTAAATAGTCCAGTGCGAGTGCAGCAAGCAAGGCAAGGCGAAGCTGGGGCCATACAACAAGGACAGGAAGGAGGGCACCGGGGGGCTCATCACTCCTGCCAAGGTAATTGTGTCCTGCGGACTGTGGTAGAGAATTTAGAGGTGCAGCGCGAGTGCAGCAAGCAAGGGCAAGGTGAAGCTGGAGCATACGACAAGGACAGGAAGGAGGGCACGGGCAGGCGGCCTTGTCACCCCTGCTAAGGTGATCATGTTCTTGGGGGGCTGAGGGAGCTAGGGGACGGCAGGAGAGTTGATGCTTTTGGAGGTGTTTCGTGCAGTGCAGGCGGCGGGTCATTCAGCGGTGGATGAGGTGGCTTATGAGTCATTTTGCTACTCGCCGAGAAGTATGTCACACCCCATCCACTGCAGCAAGTGTTTTCTTTTCGGGCATCACAACACAAGGAGACCCGCTTCACCTCGCTCATTACCTCCCCACCGCCTTTGCCTCCCCCCTCCACCTGCAGGCATACAATCCCGCATCTGATGCGCTGTTGACAGCCAAGTCCCCAGCAACAGACGCAACACCAGCAACAGCAGAGGAATCGGGCAAGAAGGCGAAGAAGGAGAAGAAGGCCAAGAAGGACAAGGAGAATGGAGAAGCCACTCCCTCTGCCACTGCCCGTGTGGATGCTGATGGGGCCGAGCCGCCTTCCACCGAGGTACGTTGTGGTTTGGGGAGGTACGTTGTGGTTTGGGGAGGTACGTTGTGGTTTGGGGAGGTACGTTGTGGTTCAGGAGTAGCTTTCCTTGCTGGTATTGTATGGTTTACTTGTGGTCTTCTCAGTTGGATAGGTGTGCTTTTGATTCTCGGGTGGTTGGGCTGTTGATGAGGGCTACTTTGTGGAGTCTTGCATTTCTTGTCTTGGCCCTTGTTCTCCTCTCCCTCCGAAACCCCATGTCCTTCAAATTTCTCCCCTGTTTCTTGCGACTTCGTTCCTTCCTCCCCGCTCTGCGCCTGCCGTCTCGCAGAAGAAAAAGAAGAAGAAACGTGACCGGGAGGAGGAGGGCAAGGGGAAGGAGGAGGCAGCAGCGCCGGTGACCCCCGCATCTGAGAAGAAGAAGAAAAAGAAGGATGCAGCAGCCGATGAGAGTGCAACACCCGGCGCAGCTGATGGTTCGGCCAAGAAGAAAAAGAAGGAAGCAGCAGCAGCGGATGGGAGTGCAACGCCTGGCGCCACTGATGGTTCAGCCAAGAAGAAAAAGAAGGCGAAGGAGGAGGATGGGGCGACGCCAGGGGCAAGTGGATCGACCAAGAAGAAAAAGAAGGCTGCGGAGTGAGGCATTTGATGGGGTGAAAAGACTAGAAGAGGTTGAAAATGTTATGTGATATGCAGCAGAGCTTGATAGGCATGTGCAGTGACGTAAGTGTAGCGACAGCTGCTCCATATGGCACACATGCTCTGCTGCAAAATGCAAGTGTCTGCATATGCAAGTGCCTTTTGTTGAGAAATCTATGTACCGTATATGAGCGCATTTTTTTAAGGAACATGGAGACTCTGGCCTGGCAAAGTGGTGCAATTGGACAAAATTATCTGGTACGGGTATGTTACTTCGTCAACCCGATATCGGTTATAGCCAACAAAGAATCTTAGTTGAGTATTCCCTCTTCAACGGAACCCAGCTTATGTCGAGCTCTGCGCATTCAAATTCAGCCTGAATTCTGTAATGAGATAGCAAGGTTTGCATTTGTAGCTTGTCGCCTAGATTGTCGCCTAGGTAGTCGCCTAGATAGTCGCCTAGATAGTCGCCTTGAAATAAGTTGTCGCCTATTGCAGACTGCCGGGATGGCGACTCGTGCCCGGATTTCCTCGTCTCGCGTTCCGCTCCCAGTTTCCGCTATAGCAGTTGCGTTTCTTTTCCACACCGTTTTCTCGTTACTGTCGCATTCGCTTCCCGCGAGTGCGGCGCGCGTACCTGCCTCCACCCACCTGCTCATGACGTCATCAGAAGGCCCTGATTTTAAGATCCTTGAGAATCGCCAGCAAGTGACTATAACGAAAGGTTCTTCTGTCGATGCTGGAGAAAGCGCAGGCTCACAGAGTGACACTAAAGCAGAAGGTCCCCCCCGTCCCCCTGTTTGGCCTCCGAGATTCCAAGTTGACTTTAACGAGGTGAGGCGTCGTGAACAGATGCTTCCGCCTTGTTACGAGGCAAAAATGCAGTAACGGCTTCTGAAGAGAGTTATTTCCTTTCAATATAGGTACCTTCCCTTGTTCACTTCAGCGAAGGCAATCCAACTCGTTTACTCCAAGTGCCTCCGCTCAATCACCCTGAAAACAGGAAATGTACCTTCCCTGTTTCACCCTCATCACAGGAGATGTACCTTCCCTGTTTCCCCCTCATCACAGGAGATGTACCTTCCCTGTTTCCCCCTCATCACAGGAGATGTACCTTCCCTGTTTCCCCTTCATCACAGGAGATGTACCTTCCCTGTTTCCCCTTCATCACAGGAGATGTACCTTCCCTGTTTCCCCTTCATCACAGGAGATGTACCTTCCCTGTTTCCCCCTCATCACAGGAGATGTACCTTCCCTGTTTCCCCTTCATCACAGGAAATGTACCTTCCCTGTTTCCCCTTCATCACAGGAGATGTACCTTCCCTGTTTCCCCTTCATCACAGGAGATGTACCTTCCCTGTTTCCCCTTCATCACAGGAGATGTACCTTCCCTGTTTCCCCTTCATCACAGGAGATGTACCTTCCCTGTTTCCCCTTCATCACAGGAGATGTACCTTCCCTGTTTCACCCTCATCACAGGAGATGTACCTTCCCTGTTTCCCCCTCATCACAGGAGATGTACCTTCCCTGTTTCCCCCTCATCACAGGAGATGTACCTTCCCTGTTTCCCCTTCATCACAGGAGATGTACCTTCCCTGTTTCCCCCTCATCACAGGAGATGTACCTTCCCTGTTTCCCCTTCATCACAGGAGATGTACCTTCCCTGTTTCCCCCTCATCACAGGAGATGTACCTTCCCTGTTTCCCCTTCATCACAGGAAATGTACCTTCCCTGTTTCCCCTTCATCACAGGAGATGTACCTTCCCTGTTTCCCCTTCATCACAGGAGATGTACCTTCCCTGTTTCCCCTTCATCACAGGAGATGTACCTTCCCTGTTTCCCCTTCATCACAGGAGATGTACCTTCCCTGTTTCCCCTTCATCACAGGAGATGTACCTTCCCTGTTTCCCCTTCATCACAGGAGATGTACCTTCCCTGTTTCCCCTTCATCAGGAGATGTACCTTCCCTGTTTCCCCTTCATCACAGGAGATGTACCTTCCCTGTTTCCCCTTCATCACAGGAGATGTACCTTCCCTGTTTCCCCTTCATCACAGGAGATGTACCTTCCCTGTTTCCCCTTCATCACAGGAGATGTACCTTCCCTGTTTCCCCTTCATCACAGGAGATGTACCTTCCCTGTTTCCCCTTCATCAGGAGATGTACCTTCCCTGTTTCCCCTTCATCACAGGAGATGTACCTTCCCTGTTTCCCCTTCATCACGGGAGATGTACCTTCCCTGTTTCCCCTTCATCACAGGAGATGTACCTTCCCTGTTTCCCCTTCATCACGGGAGATGTACCTTCCCTGTTTCCCCTTCATCACAGGAGATGTACCTTCCCTGTTTCCCCTTCATCACAGGAGATGTACCTTCCCTGTTTCCCCTTCATCACAGGAGATGTACCTTCCCTGTTTCCCCTTCATCACAGGAGATGTACCTTCCCTGGTACACCCTGACAACGGACGGCACCTGGCGGTATGACTACACGACGCGCAGGCAGCGCATCGACCGCCGGAACGGGCTGGGGGACCGATACTGCGGGTGAGTGGCTGTTTGTTATTGTCACGCAAGGCACCTGGCGGTATGACTACACGACGCGCAGGCAGCGCATCGACCGCCGGAACGGGCTGGGGGACCGATACTGCGGGTGAGTGGCTGTTTGTTATTGTCACGCAAGGCACCTGGCGGTATGACTACACGACGCGCAGGCAGCGCATCGACCGCCGGAACGGGCTGGGGGACCGATACTGCGGGTGAGTGGCTGTTTGTTATTGTCACGCAAGGCACCTGGCGGTATGACTACACGACGCGCAGGCAGCGCATCGACCGCCGGAACGGGCTGGGGGACCGATACTGCGGGTGAGTGGCTGTTTGTTATTGTCACGCAAGGCACCTGGCGGTATGACTACACGACGCGCAGGCAGCGCATCGACCGCCGGAACGGGCTGGGGGACCGATACTGCGGGTGAGTGGCTGTTTGTTATTGTCACGCAAGGCACCTGGCGGTATGACTACACGACGCGCAGGCAGCGCATCGACCGCCGGAACGGGCTGGGGGACCGATACTGCGGGTGAGTGGCTGTTTGTTACTGTCACGCAAGGCACCTGGCGGTATGACTACACGACGCGCAGGCAGCGCATCGACCGCCGGAACGGGCTGGGGGACCGATACTGCGGGTGAGTGGCTGTTTGTTACTGTCACGCAAGGCACCTGGCGGTATGACTACACGACGCGCAGGCAGCGCATCGACCGCCGGAACGGGCTGGGGGACCGATACTGCGGGTGAGTGGCTGTTTGTTATTGTCACGCAAGGCACCTGGCGGTATGACTACACGACGCGCAGGCAGCGCATCGACCGCCGGAACGTGCTGGGGGACCGATACTGCGGGTGAGTGGCTGTTTGTTATTGTCACGCAAGGCACCTGGCGGTATGACTACACCACGCGCAGGCAGCGCATCGACCGCCGGAACGGGCTGGGGGACCGATACTGCGGGTGAGTGGCTGTTTGTTATTGTCACGCAAGGCACCTGGCAGTATGACTACACGACGCGCAGGCAGCGCATCGACCGCCGGAACGGGCTGGGGGACCGATACTGCGGGTGAGTGGCTGTTTGTTATTGTCACGCAAGGCACCTGGCGGTATGACTACACCACGCGCAGGCAGCGCATCGACCGCCGGAACGGGCTGGGGGACTGATACTGCGGGTGAGTGGCTGTTTGTTATTGTCACGCAAGGCACCTGGCGATATGACTACACCACGCGCAGGCAGCGCATCGACCGTCAGAACAGGCTGGGGGATCGATACTGCGGGTGAGTGGGCGCTTGTAATGCTTTGGACGCTTCGGAATGCGGCAAAACGTCAGGCCTTCCTGAAGAATGAAGGGGAGTGGGTGGGGGAGAGGGGGGGATCGATACTGCGGGTGAGTGGGCGGTTGTAATGCTTTGGGCGCTTTAGAATGAGGCGAAACATCAGCCCTTCCTGAAGATTGAAGGGGGTGCGGAGGTGGGGGGGGGGGGGAGAAGGGGAGAAATCGTATCTGCGGGTGAGTGGGCGGTTGTGGTTCTTTGTGCTCATCCTCTTCTCTTCCCTGATCATCTTCTCTCCCCCTCATCCCCCCTACCTCTGATGCGCATTCCATGCATCCACCTGGTCGCGCACCTAGATGATGTGCATCTACATCAAAGGCGTCCTCTCAACCGCTCTCTCTGGCCCAGTTTCCTATTGCCCCATCTGCGTCCCCATGTATAGACGATGGGCGGAGCTGCACCGGTATGCGTGCAGTGCAGCTCCACCCAGCCGCTAAGGGAGGGGCACCCCATGCGCCCACCTGGTCCTCCTCTCTTCAAGCATCAACCCCCCCCCCCTCCCCTCCCACCCCCCCCACCTGTTCCCATTCACTCTCTCTCTTCCACTTGCAGCTCCGCGCTGCCTTTGAGGACCACCCCATGCACCCAACTGGTGCGGGACTCGTGGCGCTATCTCATCTTCCCTCAGGCCTTCCCACCCATCCCTTTTACCCTCCCTTCCTTCTTCCTCTCTCACTCTCTCCCCCCCTCCCTCCCCCCTTGCCCCCACTCTTTCTCCCACGTGCAGCTCCGCGCTGCCTTTGAGGACCACCCCATGCACCCAACTGGTGCGGGACTCGTGGCGCTATCTCGTCTTCCCCAAGGAAAAGGTGAGCGACTCATTATAAGCGCATGTGAGAATGATACAATGATGGTTTCTGACTTTCGAGTTGACACAAAAGTCAAAAGGTGGGCGTCTCGTCCTATTCGCATGTACGAATGATATGGTGATGGTTCCTTCTTGTTTTGACAGACTCATCTGTCTACCATCCCTTCTCAGCATCAACTCTCTCCATCCTCCCCTCCCTCCCCTCTCCCTTTTTGCTGCACACAGTATTGCTGCCGCTGCTGCTCTTTCAGCAATTCCCTCTCAACCATCTTCTCTCTCTATCCTTCCCCCCCTCCCCCCCGACCTTCCCCTCTTGCTCGCGCGCAGTACTGCTGCCGCTGCTGTTCCGCAGCCAATGGGTGTGACGTGGTGCGCCCTGATTGGCTGGCCAACGCCACCTACATGGGCCGGGACTACATGGATGACGTGCCCTCCACCAAATGGTGAGGGGTGACGAGGGGTGATGAGGGGTGATATGGGGTGAGGGGTGATATGGGATGGGTGGTGATATGCGGTGAGGGGTGGTATGGGATGATGAGGGGTGATGAGGGTTGATGAGGGGTGATATGGGATGATGAGGCATGATGCCTGCTGTCTCATGCTCTTTGACCCCCTGTTTGTTTCTCTTTAGTCGATCTTGTGCCGTTGCTGTGTTCTCCGTGTTATCACGTATGGCTGTTCTCTTTGCTGTTCTGTGTCCAACCCACGTCTGCTTGTGTTGCCATCTGGGTGTGTTTCCATGTGCATGTGTTGCCATCTGCATGCACTGTAATCTGCATGCGCTGTTATCTGCATGCGCTGTTATCTGCATGCGCTGTTATCTGCATGCGCTGTTATCTGCATGCGCTGTTATCTGCATGCGCTGTTATCTGCATGCGCTGTCATGTGCATGTTTTACCATCTCCACATGGCATGTGAGCAAGCAGGAAGCAGCAGGGGCTACAGAACAACTACTACTGGCATTCAGAGGATGATGTCCCTATGAGAATTTACATGGTAAGGCATCATGCCTGTAATGGACATGCCTGTAACGGAGATGCCTGTGAATATTGAGATTCCTTATAAGTCACTACTGTCATGCATAGGATGATGTGCCTATGAGAATTTACTTGGTAACCCATCCCATCCTTCATCCTCACCCCATCCGTTACCATCTCTCCCTCACACCGTATCTCTTCACACTATCTCCTCTCAGGAGCCGTTGGAGCAAATGACCTTCCTTCACGCCTCGTTTCAGAAGCCGCACACCTTTCCCAGCGCCACCTTCGATCTACCTTCAGACATGGAGTAAGTGAGGGCACATGTGAGGCGCCTCAAAAAACACGAGGCTCCTCAGAAGCCGCACACCCTTCCACCTTTGATCTGCCTTCAGACATGGAGTAAGTGAGAGCACAGCAACCCATCCACCTCGAAGTGAGAGCACAGCAATTCATCCACCTTCAAGTGAGAGCACAGCAATTAATTCACTGGTTAGTGGCATCTACCGCCTTCTCATGAACTTTTGAGTCGACACAAAAGTGAGAGCACAGCAACCCATTCACTGGTTAGTGGCATCTAGCGCCTTCTCATTGCCGCTCTTAAAGCTTTTTCTCTGCGCCCTCTCACCCCCTCCCTCTCGCACTATCTCCCTCTCTCTCTCGCTCTCTCTCACTCTCTCTCACTCTCTCTCACCCTCCCTCCCTCCCTTCCTCTCTCACTTCCTCACTGCACTCCCTCGCCGCTGTTCCTTCACAGTTGCTCGCAGCTCTGCTACGGCTTCTGCGCGCTGGTCCGTCAAACCACACTCTAATGTGACAACAGCGCGCCTCACATCAGTTTTTGCAATGTCTCAAGTTTAGCTCTGCTATGGCTTCTGCGCATTGGTCCGCAAAATTGCACTCTATCCTGATGACAACAGGCCTCATGGCATCATGAAAAGATCCTGTAGGTTTTTTAGGTGCCTCAAAAATCTTTTTTTGAGGCGCCTCAAAACTCCTCTGCGCATTGGTCCGTAAAATTGCACTCTAGCCTGGTGACAACAGGCCTCGTGGCATCACGGAAAGATCCTGTAGGTGCCTCTCTGCTGGGTACGACTTGTGCCTGGTCCGACTAAAAAATCAATTCATGCTCTCATCTCTCATCCAAGGAGTCTCACGTACAGCTCTGCTCTGAGAAACTGCTCACCACACTCACCACACTCGTCAGATAAACCAGTAGGTACAACATTGATATTATTACCGTAAATAATTAAACAATCCAAATAATTGGTATGGTAGTCCTACCCTAACAAGCCAAAGCACCATGCACATTTACCGTGGTGGTAAGTAAATTCTCTCGAAGTTAAAGGGGATGCTCGTTGGGGGCTTACTCCTGGGTAAAGCATCCTCCTGATCATTTCACATGAGTTTCTTGATTTGAAGCTGGCCGGTGCACACAGATGTCACAACTCATGCTTTCAACAGCACCTGAGCTTCAGAGGCACAGCTCTGTTGAAAGCACCTGAGGAGCACCATGGCCGCCTGCCTGTCCCCTCAATGCAGTTCCCTCACCAAGCTGACCAATCAAATCCATCTCCACTGCCAAGGGTGCCACTGCCACCACACTTTCTCCTCCTCCTCCTGCCTCTCTCAATCCTGGTTTCCCCTCATCCCCACACACCCTCCTCCCTTCCATCTCACCCCCTACTCCCTCACCACCGCTCGCCACCAGACCCTGACCGCCCAGCAGCCCTTGAAGGTACAGCGCTTGAATCTCCTCGAATCTTCTGCCCACCACACCCGTGCCAGCGCCACCAGCAGCAGAAGCAGCAAGGCCAGCAACACCACCACCACCATCAGCAGAAGCAGCAAGGCCAGCAACACCACCACCACCATCAGCAGAAGCAGCATGGATGGAGGACGACAGTGGCGGCAGAACAGGACAGCTCATGCCAGTATGTAACACAATAGACTCCTGAGCAGCACCCTCAGCCTGTTGCGGTGCCTCCTCTTGCTGCGCCGCGGCCAATCCTAGCAGGCTTGCCACCGCCTGCCTGTGCTGAAAGCTCTTGCACCCGTTCATCACCAACCCATGTGGGCCAGCAGCACTATCTGCTACCACTTGCGATGCCACCCCGAACGGGGCAGCAGCTGCAGCAGCAGCAGCTGCTGATGCTACTTGCGAAGCCACAGCGAGCGGGGCAGCGGCGGAAGCCGCGGCGGCGGCTGCTGCAGCTGCTTGCGACGCCACGCGATGCCGCAGGTTCGCCTCTACATACGACCACAGCGTCTCAAATCCCTCCTCCGCCTTCCCGCACGCCGCGCCGCCACTGGCGTTAAATCCCTCCGCCGCCGCCCGCAAAGCACTTGCGTCCGCGAACGCGCGGGCGGCGGCGTCCGCAGAGTCCCCGCGCGTGGAGGAGACGCGCGCGCCGCGGGAAAACGCGAGTCGCGCCGTCAGGCCGACCTCCGCAGCGGGACTGCGCACGCCCGCGATTCCCCCCAGCAAATCGCCACAAAGCCCGCTCGCGCCTTGCCGCGGCGCGCCCGCGGCCGCAGAGCCGTCGCACGCTGTTGCGGCTGCAATCACCGAATCTGCGCCTGCCGCTGCGGCTGCGCCAGCGGCGGCGGGGGTAACAGCGGGAGCAGCAGTAGCGGCGATCGCGGCGGAGGCAGTGGTAGGGCGTAACGCATCCAGCACCGCGGAGAGCAGAGGGGCTTCTAGGGTCGACCGCGCAGCGAGCGCGCTCACCGGGGGGAATAGATATTGGAAGATGGGCGGACGGGACGCGGCGGGCGGCGACAGGTGCGGACGCGACGCGGAATCACCGCGTTTGGCGGCCAGCACATCGTGATCGCTGCCGCACCGCTGGAGGCGGGTCATCATGGCGCTGCGATCCCACCCAGCGCCGCGGCCGGCGTCGCACGCGGCGGCGTCCTTAGTAGTACTCGTTGCGTGATGATCGTCCGCCGCCGCGCGCGCCGGGCTCCGCGGCCGTTTCCGACCTTCGTGCGCGCATGGCGGAGATCCGTTCCGCCGCAATCCGCGCAGCGGAAACCCGCAAGGCGGAGATCCGCGCTCCGGCCCAGCCGTAGCAGGTTCGGGACTGCTTGGCCCCACCGGCGGGCTGTGAGACTTAAGCGGGAGCGGCCAGTCTACCAGATTCGGGGTCAGCGGGCCGCAAGGGGTCCCTCCACCGCTCCCGCCGCCGCCGCCGGCGTTAGCGGCGCCGCTGGTGGAAGAGGCCGTCCGCGCGACCGTCGGGTTAAGCGTCGCAGTGGGCGGAACGGCCGACGGCGGAGGCGGAAGCGTGGCGGCGGTGGAAGCAGCATTGGCGCCGGCGCTCGCCGCCGCCGCGACGTGTATGCGGGGCTGCGCGACGGCGGCGGCGGAGACGATCATGTGGAGCGGCTGCTGCGGCGGCGGAAGGTGGTTGTGCCGATTGCGGCACCAGAAGCGGCGCGGCGTGAGCGTGCGATCCACGCGTCGCTCGAGCACCGGAAGCGCGTCGAGAATCTCCCGATTCTCCTCCCAACCGAAATCGAAATCTTCCGCGTCTTCCCCTTTCTCCCCTCGACCAGCGACCGCATATCGCGGCGAGCCGGACTCGCGATCCGCCCCAACGACGGCGGCTCCATCAATCGGCGGCCGCCGCGCACCGGATCCTGGAACTTCCCGCGCCGCCACCAAGTCCTTAAGTTCCGCGCGCCGGCCGTGCTTGGTTTTCTTCTTCGGGACCTTGTCGATGATGAGCTTCGCGGGACAGCCGGTGGTGTCGCGCTCCGCGCAGTGGTAGTAGAACCTGCGATGGCGGAATGATGTTGAGATTAGGGTGGGAACATAAGTAACAGGGGCCGCCGAGGTTGGGCGATGAGACTTGATCGAGGAGTTTCACTTACGATTTGAAGTGCTTCGGTAACGTTACAAGGCACAAAAACGATTTCGGGTAGGATATATTTATATAAAACATTAGCAAATCAAGCACGCTCCATTGCTTACCTTTTTGCATTCTGAGAAGGAAGGAATTTATGCCCATATTTCTTCCACTGATACGATTCCGCCTTTTCGTCTTTGTTTGTGGTTGCACTGCCGGATGCGCCGCCGCATTCGCCGCCACCACCCGTGACGCCGGAGGCGATGGGGTTTGCGATGTTGGAAGAAATACTTGACAGAGTTACGTTTTCCGTAAAATAGTCGTTGCCGCTGCCGCCGCCGCGGCAACAGTGTGACGAAACGGTCGCCGCCGCTGCCGCTTCGCGGAGAGAATTTTGGCCTAAAAGGCGGGCTAACAATGCGGAGTCGAAATGAGACAAATCTGCACCAGCGGCATGTGAAGAAGCCATGGACATGGAGTCCATGTGACGGATAACGAGCGTGCTCCGTGTGTCTCTGGCGATTTCTCTAATTGCGAGTAGTTCGGTCTGTGACTGAATGATAGGAGACAGCGAGTGATTGAAATAACTACTCGCGTGGTCGGGTAGGGCCTCTCCCGCAGTCGTGGCTCGAGAGGCCTCGATGCGCCTCGTTCGAACGGTTTTGGAAGCACCTACAGTGTGACGTGAGGTATCCCAATATATGCTGTGCGTAGGCGTGCTGGGTGGTGGAGAGCAATCGTGGGAAACGGTTTCTTCCTGGATCCTTTTTGTGTGTGTGTGCTCGTAATTTTCAACATACCCATTTTTCACAGGGTACACACTTATCATGGAGTAACAGCCACAGCCACAATCCCTCGCTGCACCTACAATCTGGCTGCTTGTATCTCAGGCTAGCGATCGTTCACGCCAATTCTTGCAAGCACACCTGGGCAAAAATTGTCGTTTTCGGGCAGAAGAAATGGTTTGCAAAAAGAGAATATCCAGACATATCGTCGTCTTGTCAAACTGTCTTGAAGTCCTAGAGGAGTGAGTGGCAGATGGCAGCGAACCAACCTGCTGGTTGGGTCGAGGAAATCCCATGCTTCAGGCAGAATCACACACTCGAACAGAACTTTCCATTGATCTACTGTGCTGCGTCTGGTTCGTTCTACCAAGAAATGACATTTGAATTGTATTTCATAAGCATTGTTTTGCACTACAATTCGAACCCTGTGATTCATTGCTAAACATCATGACAGGAAAAAACTTAGGACGTGGACCGCACCCGATCGATCGCTACGATCGACCGCGATCTGTATGTACCTGGAAACCGGGAGCATCGAGTGAGGAAATCGGGAGCAATCAGTCGATCGCGATCGACGGCTCGACCCGTCTCAATCGATCGCATCGATCTCATCGATCGATCGAGATACATGTAGATCTGAAGAGATCTATTGATCGGCAGCGATTGGGTACCCTTAACGAACCTCACGACGAGTTACTTTCTCGCGCAGAAGTCGTACTCACCTCGAAAGTACAGTAAAGTGGGCGAAAATTTCTTGAATGATGGTTTCGCGATGGTCACAATGTTGATGACGATCGCCTACTATTTCGCCATATCTCGCTTTGCCGCGAAATCACCAGGTGATGACGAAGCAATTGCCTTGCAGGCTTACCAGAACTTCGTCGAAAAACTTCATCGATCGGGCGGCGCGGGCACTGCAATCTGACCTGACCCGAACCTACTCGACTCGACCTGATCAGAGACGATCTGTAGCGGTCTGGTCCACGTCCTTATGAAAACATGACTATGGGAGATCGAACACCATATGTCGCACTTGATGCTACATCCCCTCCTTATGGCGCGTCCCACACATTCATACAAGATACAGACGCGAGGGATACGTGGCAGTGTGGAGGCTACTCATTTGGCAGCTGCTGAAGCCGAACAGCCATGAAGGGTGCATTTGGATGAAAAAAGTGTGGTTTGTCTCTCTGTACAGTGAAGTCACGACAAGTTGCTTGGCAGAATACTTTTGTTTTTTCTGTTACCGTCTAGGGCAACCTGACCTGGGTTTCCCTCGTCGACCCTAAGACCAAAGGGAAAAAAAAAACAATCATGTGAACACACAGTTCTGCCCGTTCATCGAAGTAGCATTTTCAAAGCAACAGGTATTACACAAGTATCGGGCTAGTCGCAGTCGTGAAAACAAAGCTTCACGTCTGAAAGTGACATTGTCTTCACGGACAGACACGCTCCCAGCCAGGGTGCTCCAAAAATCCGCGAGGAATGGGGATTGGGAAGAAGACCCCGCCCAGACCGCTAGCTGTTGATTGGATGCGGTGAAACCGTCACATAATTTCACTGTACATAGATGATGTACGACAAGGTCCTCCTACAGTTGATGCACACCTCGCGTGCATCCAACTAGACAAACAAAAGACGATCTGCTTTTAGACTAGGCCCTATTGTTCAGCACCATCCCCCTCCATTCAATTTCCACTCGTAACCAATACTTGTGTGAATGGTTTACATCCCTAACAAACAAAATGTTGAGCACGGACATCCTGCCTGCCATGCCTACCAAACCAGAACAGAAACTACAGTTTACCCTTTCATGTCATATTGATGCATAAACTCAAATAGGTTCTTTGAAAGTATTCAAAGTGCAACTATCAGCTCAGGTTCAAAGTCTTGGTAGTACCTGCACACAAGGTACATGGCAATGGGCTCCGTGACAATGAGTCGTCTCCCGAGCCTGCTCAATGCCGTTAGAATTGTTTATAGCAATTATCCAGGAGCTTACATTAACTGGTGCAGGAATCCACTTCTCTGATAACGTGTTCGTGGCCGTTATCCTAGTTGGCCTGGTTCAAGAGTGGCGGCACTGCAAGCCATTTTTTCACACCCAAGGTGCAACCTCTGGAGCCTCAAAGTGCGCGACATTTCTTGACGAGCAGTATCAGATCGTTATGTACAACCAAAGTGACTACAAAAAAAAAAAAGAAAATTGCCTTATGTGTGGGAGACGGTGAAGCAACACCCGACAAAAAAGTGTTGTACGCGTCATCAATAATAACCATACAGCGGTTTCTCCTTTAGGAATTTCCACATTACAAGTGCAGTTTCGTGGAAGGGAATTGCGGGCCTGCTATGGCATGCCTACAGCTGGAACCCGCTGCATCAAACTGACCAATCAAGTCCAGCTCCATACCCCCACCATCTGACTCTGTGCCCTTCACACCCGTACCTCCTCCATCCACCCCAAACTCTGACCTGGTGTTGTGAGTAGCAGACTCAAATTTCAGGCTATCTCTTCCCTGGAGAAGAAACGAGGCAGCAGGAGCATTTTCAGAGGGTAGCTGAGGGCCCCATAAGGCGAGATCAGATCTACCTTCACCAGCAGGCCCTTCTTTGCTCCCTGCCATGCAGACCTGCACTGTTGCAGTTGCAGGCTGGCTGCTTGCAGTGGGTGGGGTGCAGTGTGGGGGAGGTACGACTGGGGTAGGTGGAGGCAGGGCGGGTGACGAAGCGGGCACGGAAGCCAGTGGGGAAGCTGCTGCTGCAGGGGTATTGAGGCCGAGTAAAGCAGCTCGGATGTTGGGAAAGATTGTTCCAGAGAGCAGGTCTGGGCTCGCGAGCGAAGGCATTATCTGCTGCTGCTGCTGCTGCTGCTGCTGCTGCTGCTGCTGCTGCTGTGGCCGCTGTTGCTGCTGAAGTTGTTGTTGTTGTTGTTGTTGTTGTTGCTGCTGCTGCTCCTGATGTTGCTGTTGCTGTCGCTCCTGCTGCAGTTGTTGCTGCCGGTACCATTGCAGGTATTGCATCTGTAATTGCTCTAGATTCTGCTGCTGTTGCTGTTGCTGTTGCTGTTGCTGTGCTTGCTGTTGTAGGTGCTGCTGCTGCTGCTGCTGCTGCTGCTGCTGCTGCTGCTGCTGCTGCTGCTGCTGCTGCTGCTGCTGCTGCTGCTGCTGCTGCTGCTGCTGCTGCTGCTGCTGCTGCTGCTGCTGCTGTTGCTGTGCTTGCTGTTGCAGTTCCTGCTGCTGTTGCTGCTGCTGTGCTTGCTGTCTCAGGCGCTGCTGCAATTTCTCCTGCACCTGGAGCTGCAAATGCTGCTGCAGAATCTGTCCCTGCACCTGCTGCTGCAATTGCTGCTGCAAAAGCTGCTGCTGCAAGTGCTGCTGTAGCTGCTGTTGCTGTAGCTGCTGCTGCTGTAGTTGCTGTTGCTGCAGTTGCTGTTGCTGCAGTTGCTGTTGCCGCTGTTGCTGCTGCAGCACCTGCTGCGCCTGCTCTTGCATCTGCTTAACCAGCTGACTCTGAACAGCAGCACCACTCGATGCGCCTGCTGCTGCCACATCATTCCCTGCGAGGTAAGACAGAAGCATGCTAGACCTGTCACTAGTCTTCAGCGAAGCAGATTCACGCCCTTCAGCGACCGCAGCTGCACCAGCAGCAGCAGCACCAGTGGCCTCTGTAGCAGTAGTAGCAAGGTTCAGATTTGTCCGATCACTTAAGAGAAACCCTCCTGCTGGAGCAGGTATTGAAGCTGCTCCTCCTCCTCCTCCTGCTACACCTGCGCTTCCTCCTCCTCCAAGTCCTCCTTCTTGTGGTAACGGCGATGCAGCTGAGGCGTTGCCGAGCATCAGCATTGCTGCTGCCTGTGCAGCTGCAGCTGCATGCATTGCCCCCATCGGCACACCTCTACCAGCACCAGCAGCAGCACCAGCACCAGCGCCAGTGCTAGAGCCAGCACCAGGACCAGCACCACCGCGAGCAGCAGCGGCAGCGGCGGCAGCAGCAGCTGCTGCAATCGCTGAAAGCGCTGCCGACGGGAAACCAGCACCAGCAGACGACCCTAAACTCCTGCTCAACCGCAGCGCACCGAAATCCTCCCCTCCCACTTGCTGCCCGAAACCCACGTGCTGCTCGTTGCTCATCACGTTCACCCCAGACGCTCCACCGCCTACTATCTCAGCCTCACTCGATCTGCTCGCTGCTCCCGCCGCCAGCAGCATCGGCGAGTCTCCCGACCGAGGAGCGGGAGTGGGAGCGACCGAAGCGCCGCTCCCGGGTGCACACGGGCTGTTTGTCAGCCGGTGCAGAAAATGGTCCGATTGGAGCGCTGCGCCCGCCAAAACCGGCGAATCCGCCGACCGGAGAGCGGGGGTGTGCGGGGCGCTTGAGAGTCGCGTCAGAAACGGATCGGATCTTGGCCCGGCTTCCGGCCGTCGCGGCGAGTTTGCCGCCTGGGAAACGCGCGGGCTATTCTGAAGTCGGCTTAAGAATCGGTCCGAGCTGGGCAGCGCCGCTGCTGCTGCTGCTGCTGCCGCCGCCGCCGCTGCTGCTGCTGCTGCCGCTGCTGCTCCTGCTGCTGCTCCCAGAGGCAACGGTTGTGAGGAGTCCTCACTCCGGAGGGTGCGAGGGCTCCAGCTGCTGCTGCTCGTGCTTGCGTCTAGGAACAGGTATGGCCGTTTGCCTCCAGCAGCAGCAGCAGCAGCAGCAGCAG